ATCTTTTATTTCAGGTCTTTCTGTTCTTTAAATTACTTTCTTTTGTCCAGCAGCACAGTAGGATATCATCATACCATGCATAGGCTTTCATCGTTTCCATTAAGTTTGATGGATCTGTTTCCCCAATTTCATTTATTTCAGAAAAAAGGTTCAGTTTTTGCTAGACAACAAAACAGCTAGATCTTTATTGGTATTAATAATAGAGATCTCTATTATAATTGTTGCATATAAATATTAGCACTATTGCTTTTTTCCACAAGGTCTGTTCATACATTAGATTTTGATACAATTCTAGAATATGTGTTGTGTGGATTATAAAAATATTTATTATAGGGATGCATTAAGCTCCATACATCTTCAAGATCAACCTCTTCCATCGCTTCAAGTCTCATTGTCTGAGATTCCTCTTAGTGATATTAAACCAGGGCTTTTTCCATTACACAGTTTCAGTCCGCACCCACCATCATTAAAGGACAAGGATGGATGTATCAATATCATGAGGAGCATGTGCATTATAAATAATTGTGTCCCCATATAAACATCCATGAAATGACATTGATTTTATTTATTGGTACTGCCATTGTCACTTTTACTATTAAAAATACACGTGTCCTACCCAATCTGTTTTGAAGCTTTTTATGTTCCTTTTCAGTAAAATGTGCCTCTTGTAATATTTCAACAGAAATATTTTTACGGAAAGAACAGCATCCTTTTTATACTTTACTGGATTTGTACAGCCTTCAAGATCAAGGGTCCTTTGCAAACCAGCAAGTCACTCCACAAAAAAGAGAAGAAAACACAACAAAGAGAAAATGCCAGTCTGATTAAGGCTGTTATTAGCCACATCCCTCCCTATCCAAGACTGAGAATGTGTCATTCAAATGTAAGGCATATAGAAAAGTACAACTGCATTAAATAATAGTAATTTGTATTTTGAGTACTTTCTATTTTCCATACAAATGTTTCAAACTGTTTTGATTAGCAAGAGAGAGTGGGGAAGTGCATATGTGCTTGATGTATAACCATCGTGATTCATGTATAACCATCTCTAAAAACATTTCACATGTATAAATCGAATAACCTATCAACATGAGATGTTTCAATTAAAAACCAAAAGAGTAAACTGCAGAGGAGCATTACTTAAATTTGTTTCTGTAATCACTCAGAAGCAGTCTATCCAGTGATTGAGAATAAATGGTTTATTTCATGGAAAGTTCTTTACCATTTACTTCCACGCTATTATTAAAATACTGTAATCTGGTACAGACGATGAGAATCACATTCCAGAGCCCATGTGCTCAACTGAAAGTCTAGCAGGAAAATGGATAGCACATTTAATGCGAGCAACCTGTAGTTTATTTTTCACCAAAACAAACTGTTTACACTTCCTTCCAGACAGACGTGATATCAGGATAAATAAAGATCCTTCTCTACATTTCATTGCTTTTGTTTTCTGGTAATATTTCCTGATGTCCATGATTACAGATGTGGTTCTAGACACGTTTTTGTAGAATACAGGCACTCCTTACTGTTCTTCCTGGATATCCTGGCCTAGGATCTCTGGAATGAAGTGGAAATACCACTTTGTTGTTCCAGCTTGTGTAAATCAGCAGAATAGACTGGCTTTTTTTCCCAGGTAATCCACCTCCAGAACCTCTACTACTTAACGTAGCTTGTGGATCTTTATCATCCACAGCATTTTCTTCACCAAGACATACTTGCTTGAAATCTGGCAATTTGTCATTAAAGTCCCAGGATGCTCACGTATAGTCCCTGCAGTAGAAAACTAAATTAAACTTTTTTTCCAATTTCTGTGTATTGATTCTGTAATAACACATCTCTCAGAGCGCAGACAAATGTAAAAAGAGAGACAGAATTATTTGGTTAGTGTCTCAGGTTTGTATTTTCTGCTACAGGGCATTCTGGCAGGTGTAGTTTATAAAGTTCTTCTACCTTAATCATACAAAACAAGCTGCATTCGCCTACTGTATACAGTGTATGTACTCATCATGTGCATCTGCTTGCACCTTCCCTCTGAGCACTTTCGATTTCACTCAACACTTTTCAAGGACTTTTTGTTTGTCACATTTTTTTTTTCACCTTTCCATCCATATGGGGAAAGAGAGAGAGAGAGAGAGGGAGAGAGCCTTAATCTCAGGAAGGCAGATGTAACTAGTGTTTTCTTTGTGTATTCTTAATGCATTCCACATTTGTTCTTCAAATGGGATTTAGAATGTCAAGGAGGGTGTAAGTAATGCTATAAGTAGAATATTTTCATAATCCCCGAGACTGAGAATCAATGAGACTGTTAACTCCAAAGCTCCACATGGTAAAATAAAATCCTGGAAACGGCTTCTGTTAAATATCCTCCATACACACACACTAATGTTTTGGTAGCTTGCCTACACCACAGAATGATCTCAAAGTCATTAATCCTTGACATTACATTTTATTTTGAAACCTCAAACGTATACTTTTTGGGAGTTTGCTCATTGCAGAGCTGCGGGTTAAAAGCGTGATTTTGACTCAGTATTCACAGCAATTGCTGACACCGGCGCTCTCCAGCTCTCAATTTAAGTCCCTCTGTTACGACCAGGGCCTTTCAAATCAATACACTCCGCAGCAAACAGACCTTTGAAGACTAGGAGCCATTTAAAAATCCTCAGTGAAGTGACCGCCCTGCACGCATAGGTTGTTGACAGACTTAAACGTATCATTCTTACTTAAATGGACAGAAAATACATGTTTGAACTGAGACCTATTTAACTGAGCAATTCTTTCATGTTGATTTCCATTGTTTATTTAAAGTGACAGTTGCTTCTCTGCATTGGGTGCAGTGAGTCATTAGGCAAATATTGGAATGTGAGCACCAGCTGTTCTCCGCTGTGCTATCCCTTGGTTTGGTGCACATTCATTCACATTAGCGCTGTTTCCAGAATGACAAGCAAATCTTGTATATACTTAGCCTATATGAGGCTTGACTCTTCCCTCTCTTTCTTTCTCTCACTCTATTCCCCAGCCTTCTTTGGAGTGCACCCTCTGGCCTCCAGCTCTGCTTCTATTTCAATATCTCTGAAATCATAAAAATCCTTCAGCCATGTCCCATTTCTCTAAAGTGAATTTAATTCTGAGGAGACAGCGGACGTGCTGTACATCAGGTAATGATGAATGCTGCTCAGCGTGTGCGGAGAATGTGCTGGTTGAGCAAAACCTCTCGACTAATTATTTTGCCAGCATCATTAATGGAAACAGGCTTTTTTGTGAGTGCACCAACGACAGCTGGGAGCCAATAAGTCAAGGGAGAGGGATTAATAATGGGTCTAATTTTTTTTGCAAAGGAAACATCTTTAACTGAGACAGTCGTTTGAAGCACTGCAAACAACTAGAGCAAACACTAATCAGTGCTCATTAATTTTCTATGACTGGAGACAAGTCTGCAAATAATGACCATGTTCTCCAACGCTCCCTTATCAGCAGCACTAGGCTGAGCAGTGAGCAGTTTTAATTTTTAAGCAAAGCTGATTTTTATCATCTAATCACAAACCCGTATTGTTATTGGCCCTACCTGTTCCTGCAATAGTAAATGTCACTAGACATTAATCAAAATGACAGCCGACAGAGAGGCTGTGCTGTGCCACAGCTGTAAACTGGATAAAGTGCCTTTTGAAGGCCAAAAACAGTGGGGGTCAAGCATGTTGGCATGAATGTCAAAACAAAGCTGATACAAAGGAGTGGTAAATAACTGGCCAAAGCTAAACTGCAAAGTACAAGTCAAGGTCAGTGTTGTTTTATTTGTTTTTCTTTGCAGAGGTGGGAGTAGACTGGAAGATTAAGAGTGTCAATCTTTATGAGAAGAAAGCTCAGTGTCCGATTAATAGATTTCACCCCTGTGTAATGTTCAGAAGTCTGACTTCATTGTCCTTTGCAGCATTCTGCAAAGATACAATACATGTATTTCACTGCATTCATTCAACATTGGAATCATGTCAATGTTAGAATATTATAAATAAACCAGATGTAAAGAAAGATTTGTTCAGTGAGACATCAATACTTCAATTTTCTGCTACTTGTCAAGGATCGGGTCACAGGGGCAAAGTAGTCCAGTTGTCGCCACCAACATTATTCAGCTCCTCTTTGGGATCACAAGGTGTGACCAGGCCAAATTAGATATATACTGTCTCAAGCATGACTCTTCCAAATGGCCTCCTACCAGTTGGACATACGTGGAAAAACTGTAATGGAAGGAACCCAGGAGGCATCCTGATCAGATGGCCTAACCAACTCAACTGACTCCTTTCAAAGCAAAGAAGCTGTTACTCAACTTCCAACTCCTCCCTGATATATCGTTAACCTATTTTCAAGGCTTTGCCCAGCTTCTACAGGGTCTCAAACTTGATCGTTTTTTTCTGGTCACTACCCAAATCTCATAACCTTAGAGAAGTATTGACAAAAAGATTGATCGGTAATGTGGGGGCGTTGGCCTTAGATTGAGCTTATGCTTCACTACGACCGTGTAGTACCACATCTGCTTACTCCTGACACTGCCCTAATGTTCCACTTCCATGATCCATTGAAGAGTGGATTTGTGGCAGTAAAAATTGTTCCCATCTCAACATCTTGAGGTCGTTTGTCAGTGAATGTGGGGGTTCTAATGTCAAACAGTTCAACTATGTCAACTACACACATCAGTCATATGATAACACGCAAAAATCAAACTGGAGAGGTGTATGACATCACAATCCACAGATGCGAGGGACCTTACAATTTTGAAAGAGCAAGGATACTGCAGAGAGATGGCATGAAAACTGGGAACAGTTGTGAGAGTAAGACCAAAACCAGACACAGCATTGACTGGTTTCGGGAAAGGTCATCAACCAGGAGTCAGTGGACACCCACAGAGATATCAGGAAAGACATTCACGTGTGATATCAGGGACCATTTTTCAACAGAGACAGGTGTTTGTGTTTGTGCGTCTCCGTAGGTTTGTGGGTCAGTCTTACCTGCCAGTCGGAGGGACCCCGAGTTGTAGATGGCCTCGTCTCGCAGCTCCCTCACATGCACAGTGACAGTGGAGACAGCATCGGGCCAAATTCCATCGGACACGCGGACCTGGAACTGATAGGTGCCAGGTGGGGCATTCTCCTTGATGATCAAGAAACCTGTTCTCTTGTTCAGGATAAAGTAACTGGAAAAAAGGAAAAGGAAAATACATACATAAAGACAACCACATCAGTAAAATAGGAAGTATATTCAGATGACAATAGGTTTAATGCCTTTCTACTAATTCACATAAACTGAGCTTTCTACAGGAGAAGTAGATGCAATCTCTCATAACCAACACAATAAATGGATGTTTTCAGATCAACCAGATCAGCTCACAAAAACACAGCTGCATCCCCTCATAAGCATAGATTAAAAGGTTTGGAGCCTGAGAGGGACAAGCTGCTGAATCTGCAGGGCTGACCCATTGCATTGTAGTGATGTCATTAGGCCATCATCAGTGTGTCACCGTGAGTACCATGCTACTATACTAAAGGGTTAATAATCAGGGATCAATGCATGGTCCAAAAACTGTAAAGTCAAGTTTAGGGTACACGTTCAATTAATGCAGTAGGTTTTGTTTTAGAATAGTTATTTGATGTTATAAAAATGGGGTGAATTATCAATATTGAGACTGACTAATAATTGATTAAGCGCTCATGTGGCACTCCAAACCATGATCACTACTTTGCAGGCTCCAAATGTGTGTATATATATATATATATATATATAATATACAGCAACCACTTCCCTTCCTACCAATCCATGGTGTACACTGTGTTTTATAGCTCTGATAGGGGAGTCAATATGTTACATATGAACTGGGATTTCTGAAGAACATGAGGTAAAATACTCTTGCCTTTATACATAAACATGTATCATTTATAAAAAATAGAGTTATTAAAGTTATCAATTGTCCTAAACAACATAATGTTCAAAATATGTATAACAAATATAATGTCTATGTGGGCTGTGTGATGTAAAGGCTCCATACCCTTTCCTGTCCTATTGCCAGACGGATTAAGATAGAACAGGGGCAATACTTTCCCAACCCCCTCGCCCATGTGTTTGACTCTGCATTTCACTCTGTGTCTTAGTGTTTACTCTGTTTAACGCTGTTAACCAATTCCCCTCTGGGACAATAACAGAAAGTGATCAGAGACGATACATTAAGCTGAGCGAGGCAAGGGGGAAAATGAGACTGACTAATAGGCACAAAGACATGTGAGGAAGCAATTTCACTTGGTTGTTGTCTACATGCTCCCCTTGTACATTAAATGAGCTCATTCAAGTTTAATTAGAGAGGAAATCCAAGAACCTTGGCAAATCAAATAATAAACCACTTGTAGACACAAGGGCCACATTAACTAATTTTATAGCACATGTTATGGTGTGTAGATTATGCCTTATAGGTCTAGCCCCTTTTAAGACTATTTTACATGTCTAGTAAAATACCAATACTTTTCCATTTAGTACTTCACAATCTACTGAAGCATGTTTTATAGACATTTATGTCAACTACTTAAATTACTGGCCACTTCTACTCCAGTAAAAGTAGGACACATAAAACTATTCTTCTTGCTACACGGTTGTACGCAGTCAAAATACAAATCCTCAGTGCTGTGCAATGTGGTAGTTACAACCTACTACAATACAACCTCTTGATCCGAAGCTCCCAGAATTGAGCTGCTGAAGTGCACACTTACACTGAACAAAAGCTGTTGTGCTTGATTTGATTTGGTGAAATGAAAATATATAAAGCAGACCAGAACAAACTATGACAGGATTTGTTTTGTGAGAAGCCAGGACAGCAGGCATAAGGCAATGTGCTCTGAGCTCAACTCAGAGAGAGAGAGAAGGGAGAGAGATACAGAGACTAAGAGAGACCAAGAGAGAGAGAGAGATGTCATGAAAAGTTGATGTTGTATATTACACCCAGTCCTCCACGGGGCTGAACTTCAACTTTGATAGAGACAGAACAAAAATGTGTCATTGTAAGTTAAGCTCGGTTTGGAAGATGAAGGCCAAGGTTTTGTGATACTGGAGTGTCACTGTAATGTGTGTGTGTGTGTGTGTGTTTGTGTTTGCAACTGAAAACATAGATAACCAAAATATTACTTTTAGCATAGAGAGGACAGCCTGTTAAATAACAAAGAAGGGACTATAAGGACAGAAAGAGAAAGAATGAGGAAATTCATTATCAGCCGGAGGGGGGCAAACAACATACAAAACAAATAACAGAATGGTGAGGTAGTGGTGAAAAAGAAGATGGTAAACAGATGTAAGATAATTAAAGAACACAATACAGATTATCAGGCTGATTTAAAAGAAATCTCTTTCCTGTCCTGATTCAAGAGCAAGGTCTTTAATTTTGAGGGGAATACTTCATTTCACGCTCAAATCTTGTTGCTCTCTCAAGTGTCTGAGACTTTTACCGAGGGTGCATCCTCTTTCAGACTGATCACCTGAAGATGGTTAAGGACAACATGGAGATCAGAACCCTCTTAAACCTAGATGTTCCCCTCTGTGTGATGCAGCCTTTGAGCAGGACGTAACTGAATACAGGAGCATCCTGTTTGAAATCCAGTCCGACAACGCCCAGGCTACTGCCCACACATCTGGCTGGGGCAGCATAGGGGTCAAATATACACAGGGATCCAGCGCTGGAGAGGACCAGGCTGCTTCCTCTTACTTTCCCAGCAGCACAGTTGAGCGGGGATTCAGTGATTCGCCACATGTCGTCCAGTTCAGTAACCACCTGGATTGTACAGCCTCAGGCAGAGAACCACTAAGCGTAGGGTTTATACTTTGAATTGATTTCACTTCTTTCCTTTGAAAGCTAAAATAGATTATTTGTTTTTACCATTAGCATAAGACTTTTTTCTTGGAATGCTGCTCTTGTTTTTCTCTGGTTAAAGATGAAGATTCATAAAAATTATTTTTATTTGGCATGCATATAAATTCCTTCCAATGTGTAACACATATTATTTCAATCTCAGTTAATGCTACAATGAGTTTTGCTGAAGATTAGGATCCACAACTCTGTTCATAATTTCTTTGAGTTGGTTTAAGCATAAATTATGTAACAAGAATGTTCTGTATCTACCATACCTTCCCTACAGAGCCCATCACTTCTGTGACATGTCACATCTAGGACAGATTACATAGAATGTCACTCCATGTGTTGTCATGAATGCATTAATGTAGATTTACCCAGTGGCAGAGCAGATAGAGTTGCCAGTGAATACAGTTAATGTCCTAAGAGAACTCTGGAACCTGGTTAGCTGTCAAGTGGAAAACCAGCAATAGGTAGGCCATAAACACCAGGGTTCCCATGTTGCAAGTGCAATATGACTTTACCAATTACAGTAGAAGAAGAAATTAATAGAAACATTAAAATAAAATATGATCCGGTTTGGTGAATGTGATCGGCTGAACCTGAATACACAACTGTCTTTAAGGGACGCTGTGTATTATAAAGAAGTAATGCTACGAAATGAAAGCGCACGCTCTTGAAGAAAGATCCGAAAGAAACTCAACTGCTGCAGCTTAATCCATAAAATCAGGGAGGAGAGGTTGGTAGCTGAGTAACAAAAAATTAGGCAAGCAATCATCGAAATGAATTAAAAAAAATTAAGCGAATTAAGTTTTGATATAATTGCGATGTACAAAATAAAAATTATGAACCAACAAAAAAAATTGGCAAATAGCAGGAAAAAAGGCGACAGTTTCAATTTAGTTGGAAAAAATGAAAAATCGGGCCTTCCTGACATTTTCATTTACAAATGCTCCATTGTGCAGTTTTCTTTTTCTGATGTCATAGGTCTCAAATGTGAAGTACCCAGCTTTAATGGTTCATGGAGAGTCTTATTATTTAATGACACGGCATCAGGGACATTATTCTGAATTACCATGCATGTACATAAATTAAACCAAACTCATTCTTGAACTATATTGAAAACACACATTCAAATGAAAACTTTTTAGACCAAACAGAAACACTCTCACACAAACAACTGAAAGATGACCTGTTCACATATACAATCCAAAGGTGAAGCATTTTATATTCACTACTACAAATCTTTCACCCTCATCACACGATATTATTTACCTTGGCACATGTCCTTCAAAGACGTAAGTCTTGTTGTCCCAGTCATCAGGGTCAGGAGAGTAGACCTTACCAAGCACTGTGGTTGGCATACGGCCTTATGACAGAAGACACACCAGTTTATGAGATTACCAGGTTAAATGGCCATCAGTTGCATATAGATTTGTCTAAATGTGATGGACACAGGACACCTTGGAGAGGTTTAAGACGTGTTGGCCTACAATGGCCTCCATGTCTTCAGTAAAACGTTTGGTGAAAGAATATGTGTTTCCTTTCTGCATGTGTTGGCTATGTGTTTGTGTGTTTGATGAGAAATGTGCAGATTTCAGGCTTCATTCGCCATTTCCTTTCAGCTGAACTAACAAGTGACATTGCAGGTGATTGGCACAGGGGTAGGGAAATGCATAACAGAAATGCTGTTTGAATGCACAATGATTATAATCATGGGGAAGGAACTGCTGTTCTCTCCCCTCCAGCTCCTCACACTCTGAGCCATGTGGGAATTACTCTGAGGGTACCCTTCAAATTTAAAGGCAGCCCATGACATGCTGAGTTTTAACCTGTTGTTTGCCTTTGCCAGAAATTTTGGAGGAAAAAAGGTTACACAGCAATAGAAATAATGATGCTACTACTTTTCCGCACTACCGTTTGTGACAAACACCATACAAGTAACAGTTCTTCTAAAGCAATTCTAACACCTAAAGGTACAGTGTATAAAATTTGTGGTAGCCTTCAGTTGTGATAAAAACTCAAAAGGTGTTTAGTTTGTCCAGTCTGGACTAATGTAAAAAACATGCATATATGTAAATATAAAGTATTTAAATATAAAGGGACTTTTCTGGGGTAAAGAAAACTACAATTCATACAATTTTGATGAAATGAACTCTATGAAAACATCATGAGGATTATTCTACATTAAATTTCTGTATAGTAGTTCCCTTTCACCTAAATCTTACACACTGGACCCTTAACTGACAAAACTGTGTGTTTAGAATCCAATAGAGTCTGTATAAAATTATGATATTCACTGTATTCTAGCCCGTGATACTTTATTATGTGGTCTGTTTGGTATCCTGTACCAAACCTGAAAAATGAATCAAAAATAATATAGCTGTAATTAACTGCATCAAGTTGAGCTACAGTGTGACCCATAGTGTAGCACTATTGGAGTCATTGTGATTAAACACCGATCATGCAGAAATGACTAATCAGGTAACATGGGTGGGTTGAGGCAGAGGTGAATAACACAGTAAAAATGTGTGTGTAGGTGTGTGTATATATCTCATTGTGTGTCCATTGAAATTATTGCACACTGATTAGTAATTACTGTAAATGGCTGTCAGTGTGATGTTTCACCTACAGAGAAAACTACCCTAGATAGCAAAAATCAAACTGTGCTAGAAAATGTTGAATATTAGTTGGATACATTCTAAAGATGTAGACGACCCTCTTACCTCGGTGACTATTGATGAATATCTTTTTCTCCCCTGCCACATGCGCATGATCATTTTGGTCTCCTATAGTCACTGTCAGGGTGGTGGTCACGGTTTTGGCTGGACGGCCGCTGTCACTCATGATAATAGGAATGAGGAATTCTTTCTGGCGTTCACGGTCAAACATCCGCAGAGCTGTTAGTGTGGCAGTGCCATTCAGGTTGTCTTGGAGGTAGAAGTCATTGTTGTGGCGATACTCAGGGGGGATAGTGAAGTGAAAGGGGGGGCCATTCTCTGGAGAGTCCTGGTCCACAGCTCGGAGGAGGGTCGAAGTTTGGTTCAACCTCACTACCTAAACAAGGAGGGAGAGCATAAGACATTATGGCTAACTCGGGTCGGATTTTTACATCCGAACCAACTATAAAAAAAGATTATCCTTAGCCTCTTCCTAACTTCCTTCCTGTTCAGTAACTCACTGCATCAAATCAGTACGACACATGTTACATGAGATCAAACCCATTCAGGCTTACCTGTGGTCCTGCCACATTCTCAAATACCATTGGGGAGTATGCTGCCTCAAACTCTGGTCCATTATCATTCACATCCAACAGAGGCAGCTGTACTGTTGCACTCCCTGATAAAGGTGGGACCCCATGATCGGTTGCTATGACAATCAAGTGATGTTGGGGTATACTCTCCCGGTCCAGAGGCCGGGCAACAGAGAGCACACCGGATTGGTCAATGGTGAACAGCCCCTCAGGATCTGAGTCGTCTGATAGGCTGTAGGTGATGTCACGGTTCTGCCCTGAATCAGAGTCACTGGCAACCAAACGTGCCACACTAGTACCAACGGAGATGTCCTCAGGTAGCGGAGCGAGAGAAAGAAAGTGTGGAATGAAGACAGGAGCATGGTCATTGTAGTCCTCTACCTCCACCACACAGTGAAGAAGGCTGGAAAAGTCCAGATCTTCAACCTGAAACAGCAACCACAATAGGTCTCAAATTATACTCAAGTGTTGCATAGACAAGATCAAGCCTACGCGTAAAGCTGAGCTGCAGTGTTGCCAATGTACACTGCAGTAATTGTGATTAGACAGAAAATTGTGTTAATTACAAACACAAGTTATTGAGTTAAAGATAAATAATGATAATAAGATTCAACATTGCAGCTAATATATAAAAGTTGCATTGAAAAGCTTTAAAGTTTCTGTCTGCAACTGATACCTTGTGTTTGAATGGCTTCCCAGTCCTCTCTTAACAACTTAATTCTTTGACTTAGCTTCTGAAGACATGACAGGCTGATTTGAAAGTTTTAGAGCAATAACAAAAAATGTCATGAATTTATGAAAATTCTCAAAACCTCTGCTGTTTTCTTCAGTAACAAAAAATTCCAGGAACATGCTGTATGTGTGTATCAAACTTTAAGATAAATACTAAAATGTATTTTCTATTGTCAGCACTTCAACAGATACCTGAGACACATTTCTGTCAGTTGAGAGAAAACAAGACAGAAGCTGAATGAGAGTAATCTTCGATAGTGCATGTGTATTTGGAATTGCTTCCATTTCCTGTACCTTTAGAGTGAGGTTGAACCTCTGCTCGCTGTGGCGTTCATAGTCCAGGCGTTTCTTCAGCCGCAGGGTGCCACGCTGCTCCTGCTTGTGACTGACCATGTAAAACTTCTGCTCTTGGTCTCCAGACACAACACTGAAAGTGAGCTGGGCATTTTCTCCAGTATCTCTGTCCTCTGCAGCAAGCTCCAATACCTTAGAAGAAGCAGGAAGATGATGTGAATAAAGTTTGTGGGCTCTATCCCATTAGGGATGCTGGCTTCTTGCAAATTGGCAAAATGTTTTTGACGGAAGCAGATTAGCAGAGCTTGAAAGAGTACAAGCAAGGGCGCTTAAAAGAGAGCATGCATTCCCCCTAGCTCAACAATCCCTTTAAATTCAACCAAGCAGCACAAAATCGCAGACAATCATAGATATCAGTTGCCTAAACGTGCTTGATTTCTTTTCATCAAAATCCATTAATTATTCCCTGGAAAATCTGTGAAAATATCAACTTTCTTACAATGTTGAAGAAAGTAGAAAAACTATGCTGGATGCACCAATTTGTTCCATCCTTCCACCCAGTGTTGTTTTTGAATTATCCTGCAAACAAACCAACCAGCAAACCAGTCGACGGAGTGAAAACATAACCTCTTGGCGAAGGTAGCTAGTTTTTGTAAATTTGTAAGGATTTTCTGAATACAACCTTTAGTGGAAGCTGAGAAGTGACAGAAATACAAGCTATTGCTCTCTACCACCAAAGATGGCTCTTAGCAAGTGTGATGCTGGACATTGAATGCTGAAATTGATGCTACATTTGTTAAGTAGCAATAAGAAAACACACAGATGGATCCTTTAAACTTTGTTTATTCAACAAATGAATTTGTTGAAATCTGGATGTTAGTTTGAGCTATGCTGTGGTCAAACTCTATCTTTATGAAACCAGCCCATATTTTCTATCAAAATATCTAGGTCACTGCAGCTTGACAGATGTTGAATGATGAATTTCTACACCAGTAACTAGTTCACTTGGGCTCTCTAGCACTATGTCCTGAGCAGGTAGTGTCCTGTGCTGTTGGGAGGGAGCCATAAAGTCTAGATCTTACATGGACTAAAACAGAAAGTTAAAAGGGAATTTAGTTGCATTGAGCTGCAGAGATCTCATCTAAAGTAAAAGTGAAATATGTTCATTGGAGGATCTTAAATGTGTTTTCAATTTGTGATGATACCACAGACAGCCTTTTTATGTTTGTTGGTACTTGAATTGTAACTGTGTACTATTCTGAGTAAGAGATACCAAATAAATGTGCAAATGTTCTTCAAGGTCAGGACAGGACATTGTTCCTCCATGGAAAAGGGCTTTTTTCATTTACTTTTCTACATTTTTAATACTCAAACTTGTTTTGGGGAAAACGTTTTTGTAACACAGATGCCTTTCCTAAATACAGCAGATACCTTTGTGTATCCCCTTAATCTTTTTTTTTAATCTAGTAAAATAAACTGAAACTATGTTATCACATGAACTACCCTCAAAATCAAAGACATTATGCTCTAAATATGAGCGGCTATCCCTGTCTATACCAGGTATATACTCCTTCGGTTCCCTCCTCTCTTGTGTGCAGTCCTTGTTGGAGATACTGAACTCTAAACTTTATCTCTATCCACCAAATGGTATATTTACATTTGCACAGGTCATTTAAAATACTTGACACAAAACAGCGTCCGTGGTATAACCCACTGCAATGGTGCCTCAACAGTGAGGCCTTTACCCACCTCTGCATTGGGGTCTGCATTCTCTGAGATCCTTGCTAAGCAGGAGTGATCCGTGAACCTTGGAGCATGGTCGTTCACATCCTTGATTTGAATGGTAGCAGTTCCAGTACCAGTCATCCCTCCACCATCTCTGGCCTCCACGACCAGGAGGTACGACTCAACCTGCTCTCGGTCCAGACCACCCATGGCGACAGTGATTGTTCCTGTGGTGGGGTTTATGGTAAACATTTCTGAGAAAGTCGGCACTCCTCCTACCTCAATGTTAGTGCCATCTAGACTACCCACAATCCTGTAAGAGAGCACAGCATTCTGCCCTACAGCGGAGTCGTCCTGGTCCGTGGCTGTCATTTCCATCACAGACGTCCCTACTACCGAGTTCTCTGCCACATCTCCTTGGCAGCTGGGGACGCAGGTGAAGACCGGGGCATTGTCATTGATATCCCAAACATTAATGATTACATCAGTGAAGCCTGTCAGACCTTCGCCACCTTCATCTGTGGCCAGGACGACAAATCGCCACACAGCGCGCTCCTCGCGGTCCAGAGTCCTCTGGGCGTAGATTTTGCCTGTGACCTCATCAATAATAAATTCGCTCTCTGCACCCTGGCCGTGGAGAGAGTAACGCAGGGCCTCTGGGTCGGCATCCTTATCTGGGTCAGACGCTGTTACCTACAACATCAAATTCACAGTGAGACAGAGAAAGGGAGATGAGAGTGTAATCACCTGAGTTTTTTCCAACACTATTTAATAATTGAAAAGCTGCTGACTTGGCATGATGTCTCAGCTGGACACACTTGACAACTGCTCTGTGCAGTTATGAACCCTCCAGTAGGTAAATCTGGCCAAGATCCAACCTCCTGTGCCCATGCTCTACACCTCCTCTGCCTCTCTTCCTCTGTCTACCACTTCTCACTCATCCTCTGAACATAAGCAGCAATTATACTCTCAGCAAGATGTTTCAATTTAGCACGGTAATTGTAGTGTGATGTAGAGCCAAAATTAACTATGTTCCTCTAAAAGGGGAAGAAATGTGCTCTTACATGTTTAGAGAGGGAGGAGAGCACCAGGGATTCAATGAACAACTTTCAAACCAAAGTGTATTCAGTCTTATGTAATTGAGAACGGCTTAATGATGGTGAGAAAAATATGTGTTATTGAGCTCGAGCAGGGCTGAACAAGTGTGACAATCTACACAAATTTAAATGTTTTATTTATCAGAATGATAATTTATAGAAGATACAGCTTCAGGGTCAACGCCCAAATGATCTAGCAATAGACCGTGTCTGGCCGTGGCTGCTTAGGAATTGCTGGGTAAAGACTGAAATCAATTTTCAAAATGAAATGCAAACAGGAAAAAGGACAGGGCAAAATAATTGTAAACTCACACTCGATTACATTTCTGCTGCCTCTTAAAGAAGCTTATGAAAGAAAAGGATGCTGACTTAAGGCAAAAGACATTAATCCATTAATTATACAACTACAACTCAATAAAGCCTTTACATTTTGAAGTGTTTATTTTTCTAATTAAGACACATTCAACAAAATGCACACTTTCAAATTTCTGGCAAAAACAAACCTTAGATGCAACGGAATCTATTCTAGCAATCGGGTATGGATCAGCTTCAGGTCACAGCCTGAACAGCTAGCCAACAAATTTAAATGAGCACTACAAGTTAGTTAGTTGATAAAATCAAATAATTCATAATATTGTGCAACAGATTGGGGCAAAGCTAATTTTCATGCAACATCTTCACAAGTTGAGTACACTAGAAAACATAAAAATAAAGACACAAAATTGTATTGTAATGTAGATTGTCCTACAAGCATGTTTAGATTGGACTTGCGTTTTGTTCTGTTGAGCCAATGGATTATACTTTGGGGTTTTTATTCACTTGCAATTTCCTAGAGTTCAAATGCAAAGCTGAACAACAACTGGATGTTACCTGTAACACAAACACTGGTGAACCATCCAGCTCCTCTGTTACGCTTCCGTAGTATTCGTTAACAGTAAACACTGGCGCCTCGTCATTCTTGTTGACCACGTTTACAGTCACTGTGGTGTAATCTTCCCACTTCCCATCTGAGGCCAGCACATGAAGCTTGTACCTGAGCAAAAGTTTCAGCTCAGTAAAGAGCAGTCACAAAATAAACAAATGCATAATCCAAATGGACTTACTTGTTTGTTGTCAATCACTTAAACTACTTTGGTATGATTTAAAGTCTCAGAAGGGAAATTTAAAGCAAAAAAAACAATGACAGGGAAATATAACATCATGTATTTAAGATAAAATCCTTTGACAAGCATTTAAATGGTGGTTCAAAGGATTCCTCCCTGGGGTGTGTTCCTACCTTTTGTTCTGTTCATAGTCTAGAGTCTGGGCGATAAAGATAGTGCCGACTTCTGGTTCCACATCAAATACCCCTCCTGTGTTCCCAGAAGTGATTTGGTAGCGCAGTTTGGCGTTTCCACCTGTAGATCAATGCAGGTGAAAGAGGAAGGACAGTTAGTGTTAATGAAGCTTAGATGTTGATGACGTAGAGTGCAGTAATTTGAGTTTAAGCTTTGCTGAAAAGAAGAGTCAGGATTTTATCTGTTTGTGCCATTGAAGAGCTTTCATGAAAACCTGATTTGGAAGTCCCTATCGATCCCTCTCTCCCCTTACTGAGCGGCAGCCTGCTGTGGCTGTTGGCACCAGATATGGAGTCTTTGTTGTGATCTGACTCGTGTGAGTCTTTCAACAACAGATAACTTCTACCCTTACATCCATGATTACTATAACCGCTGCATTAGAGAAGCACCATCATGACTGGAAATATATTAAGAGGTCAGACACTTCAGCTCAGAGACACCAAGTGTGTAGCAACTGTTGTACCTATGTTTTATTCTGTCACACAAATCAACTTACAGCAACTGCAAGATTTTAGGACTTGACAGTTCCACTGCAGCTTTTATACAAAAATTTAATTGAAGTTTCACAACTATTATTTGTCTAAACTACAGTTTTTTTAATATAATTTTTTATGACTTAAATACTTTTTCATTATGAAGCAATTTGACAGCAAAAGATGGAAAGGAAATGGTGAAGGGGACTGTATCAAAAATGTCAATGCCAAATGTCAAATGTGCTGCAGCTAAGTCAGGTGGTGAACATTACTTGCCATTTAAAAGTATACCGATTCTGCCTTTTTAGCCATCAAAAGCTGATTACAATGACATTTCATATTTTTGGGGGTAGAAGATGGATTCACTTCGGACACTTGAGCAAAGTAATGAATTTAAAGTTCAGATCTATTTTACTTACTTCAAAAGAAAAAAGAGAGAAATGGGGGAAAAACAATACATCTATTTCAATCCTCCCCAAAATGTCATCCACATGTGCAAACAGAAATATATCATCTCTGATAAACCTGTGTAATAGGTACTCTATCTTTATAATCAATGCTGTTATTTATTAACTTCCTGTGTCAGACATTTGATGGCTGAGACTAAGGCTATAACCTATGATGGCCGAAATTTGGATCAGATAGGTAATTGTCTGATGAAAGCCATTCACAGTGGATACCTGCCAGGTCCTCTGTACTAAAGCTTGTAAACACTGCCTTCATAGCTGTGTCTGACAGTTTGCATTAATTTCCCATAGTTTCATTACCATACTTGTCAGGAGGCAGCGCAGAGCTCGCTTTTGAATTTAAGTTGAATAATGTCAAGGTGAATATTATCAGCTTTTAATTTGTAAAGGTGATTAAGCTTGAGTGCCTTTCTTCACAGTGCCATAACTAAGTTAACTTATTAGCACGGGTATTCCAACATTAGGCAATTCAGTGGTGTTTATATTTCATTTCAACTCAATTCAAAGCAATTTTATTCAATTTAATTAAAGTTGGTTCTATCTATTTAGTGCAAAAACTTTACATATAATATCTCAAGGCAGAGAGAGGTCAAGACCTTCCAACAGAAAAACCCAATAGGTCCCACCATGAGTAAGACTTTCACATAGCTATAATTTGTTATGGTTTACTGTGTCATATAAGGTCGAGGATCAACTTCAACAAGGCTATACTCGTTTTGACAAAAGTTTGTACAATTAAAAAGTGCTAAACCATAATAGAAATCCAGTAATCATTCTTTGAACAATTAATATTCCATTGGTCAAAGCAATTCAAAACCATATTACTGTGAAGTACCCCCCCCTCTATATTTCCAAGTACTCTGTCCCTTCCTCACTTAATAATCTATTTTCTTGCTCTGAGAAGTATTTTTAATAAAGTCTATTAAATGATCAACACAACGTTCCCCCTCAATGGAATTACTGGTGAAACCAAGGTCTGCATCTCAATCACCATTGAATCCACCACCCCTCATGTTAATATGAAATGGAGAAACCTCTGAAGATGAGATGAGATTCACAGCTTATTAGCAAGATGAAAGTCAAGGAAGGAGAGAGGACAATGCTTTTATCCAGATCGTTTTGTACCCTCTCTGTTGGCATTTTAAATGAGACATTAGGGATATATGCAATCACATCTCTTCTTTTTCGCTCACTGTTATTTGATGTTTTTTTTCTAGCTGTCTCAATCGCTTAAGTATTTAGAAAACTGCTGAGACCCAAAGGACAGTAGAAAACAGTGCTGGGAGTAAAACAATCCTTATAAGAAACAAACAAATTGAGAGAAAATTAATGTTTTTTCCCAAGTGTGCCAATTTCAAAACTCTGTTCATCTCTCGAGGTATTACACAAACACACACACACACACACTTTGTGATGACTTGCATTCCTTCCTAATTACTTTTTAGCTTTCAAACAAAAAAGAAAAAGAGAAACTTAACATGAAAACATGACTTTTAGGTTGTGTAATTTATGCAACATAGGTGAGAAGAAGAAATAGTATCTGTACAGAGTCAACATAAACACAGACAGTTATTTGTATTAATTTATGAACTGACTGTCTTACATTTATACTAACAACCGTTATTACGTTTTTCAGTCGATCACATTGTAAGAAATAACTAGTGAACATTCCCATTACACTGAATAGTCAATGATGCTCGAGTCAATACTGCTCGCGGTTGCTCCTTGTCAAAATAACTCAACACACTGTCCGAGTTTTCCAGGTGTAGAGCAGCGGAACTCACTGCAAATAGAGCAACAGAGAAAGGCAGACTCACACCTGCTGTCAACACAGAGCTGGCCAAACCAACTTGTGTCAGATCAAGTAAAAGCTACGTGCACCGCACTGGAATCACTGATCATCGCAGCATCAACATCACGAGACAAGGCATTGAGGTTTGCCTTTTACACATCACAATGAAAAGATATTTGAGAAGCATTGCTTTAGAGGAGTGGACTGGTTTCTGAGTGAGACGCATGCACTCCCAGTGGACAGAGAAAGTCCTGCAATGACCAAGAGTGTGTGATGAGGAGGACGGATGAGAGGAGAAGAGGTTTGCAATGCAGCAGTGTATGTGGGCCTCACACAAATTCACCTCCATGTTTTTTCAACCCAATTGCTGTATCGTATGTGGACTGTTTGTAGATGGGAAAACCAACTCTATATGAACACATTTCAATTATAAAAGAGGTGAGTCTTCACTACTGAAACGATTTTCAGTGGAGTATTCCTTCAAGGGCTCATGATCTGCACAACCATCTTGAAGATCGATAAAAAGATTGACTGAAATGATCACATATAATAATTCCAAAGCAAGTCTTGTTAATCTTTGGTTTTTGATTTTTAAAAAATCTTTAAATTATGCTTCTATCTTTAAGTTTATGCAATGTTAATGAAATAACACAGATGGTGCTGATCAGTTACTGTAATTCAAAATATCTATATAATACTGTATACATTACTGTCAGAAGCATAAAATCTCATCTCTAATCTACTGCATCTGCTCTCTCTTATTTAAACCTCTATGCAGCCCACACTAAGTCATTTCAAACACATGCACACACATTACGGTGGAGTCACTGTTAATAACCTTTCTCTGGACTCAAGCAGGCTTTTTACACATACACTCACACCTAAGTACAAAGTGTCTCCCTATAATCTTATGTGAGTGTGTAGCCGTTGATTATTTCTTTTTCAAAAGGAAATGTGGACTGCACAGCAGGCCTCTGCAGTCTTCTATGATAAATGCTGGATAATATGAGTTTTTGCCTTTTCCTTTTCCTCTTCCATCTCCTATTCATCCTTACATACACAACACGCCTCCCTATTTTTCTGCTTCTGTATTTCTAAGAAAACTCGATCCACAATGGACACATCACCCGCTGTAGCCCTGCATGTGTGTGTGTTCAGAGAGGCACTTGTAAAAAAAACAAAAAAAAACAAGAGGTGATATGAAATGTGAGTCAATACTTAGTTATGTCAATCAGGAGTTGAGTGTGGTCTGAGCAGACATTTTAAATTACTCCTCTCTAGATAGAAAATGAGAGATAATGAGATGTTTCTGAGCCAGAATATTGACCAGCTCCGACTTTCAAACTGAATCCTCAACAACTCATGGGCATACTTTAGGTTTTGCTAAATACAAATACACAGCCAACACATGTATGGTGTGTATCATAATGACAGGTTTAACTGTGGGTACACTTCCCACACTGACATTTACATTGAGGAAAGAGACATTTTCCCAACTGAAAACATGGCATGCAGGCATAAAATGGGCCCCAGACTTGAACCACTGATCCAATTGAAGGGTAATAAGTATAGTGTCACCAATTCAGCCTGAACTAAAGGTGCAGTTGTCAGTCAGTTAAAGTGGCAGTGGTGTTTCCAGTTTGGACATTTACCAGTGCCTCATTGGTGACAAGTTCATCTTTCACACATAAGATTAAATTGCTGGAATGTTTGATTCAAATCTAATCAGACTGAACTTCACTAGAACTGTACTTTGCTCTGGTACTCGATATATGAAAAAAATACGTAAAAACAAATGAAGAGGGCAGTGTCTGGTTTAAACAGTGACAAGCATGACAAAAGAAAAAAAAGTTATGGGTCTTGTAAGTTATGGTGCACTTCTCTGGTATTGGTCTCCATCTTCTCACACTCAGCATCACTAGTACACCTTTGATTTCCAGGTGGCTTTGTGGATGCAGCCCAAGCGTCCCCAGTTAAACAAGCTGGCTTTACAGTGTTTCTTTGTAAATGCAAAAATCATCAGGAGCGACTGATGAACAAAAATAACTTGTTTTACCTTTTCATCTGTACTAGCTATGTAATGGAAAGGCAGACAATAACTCTCTTTGCCATTCAAAGGTTACAAACAGCTAAAGGCTACTTTCAAGGTGGAATTATTTATTGCTCGAGTTGACATTGTGAATCAATCAATACATCTTAAATGTCAAGATGAGATTTCTTTGTATTTGCCTTCTTGCATTTTACATACACCTGAATGAATATTTCAGAACCTAAATGAATTTCAACTGAATTATGTAATCTGTAAATATTCTATTCCTGCACTTGGAGAAAAGTGTGTTACAGTGTGCTCGGGGAGCACTACACTTATAATGAAACACTTTGAAAGAAGGAAGGAAGTAGGCGCTCTAGTTGTACATGCATATGAGATACCGCAGTTGATGACGCTGCTCTGAGACTGTTGCACAGGTACCTACCAAACTTGAAAAGCCTATGGCCTATGTTAGAATGGACTTCTCAAGCACCTTTAACACAGTTCATCACCACCACAAACGCTGACTGAAATGGACATCAACCTACATGTGATCCTCTGGGTCCTTTCATTTTTCTCACAGGGAGACACCAAGTGGTCAGAATCAATGATCAGTTGGTCTCTACTCAAACCCGAGCCCCACGGGGTTCTGTTATCTCACCTGTGCTCCTCACACTGTTCTCTGACAACTGCAGGGGCTCAGACCCAGAAATAAACTACATCACATACTCTGATGGCACAAAGCAATAAAGGTAGTTTTGGGGAGCAGAGATTTTAGTTTTTAGGGGTTTAATAACCTCTTTGAGAATATGTCCATCTCAGCTTGTAGCTAGCCTTCAGAGTTCACAGTGGTATCCACGAAAACTGAAATCTCTGCTCCCCAAAACCATCTTTATTGCCTTGAAATAGCTTGGATGTAACTTCACACCATTGCCCCAATTAGGTCTATGAATATGCAAAGTTGGCTTTGTGCCGACATCTATCAGACTCATTAATGACTCAACTAGCTTGAGGTTTATCTATTGACATTTGTAAGCATGCTTCAACACATCATTTTAAATGTCTTTTATCTGTCTTCAGATATATGTGTTTGTTGTCTGCTGTTTGTGTTTAATGTGACACTTTTACAAAAAAAGTTCCTCCTGGATATATACAGTTTTGAACTTTGTTTTGAAATCAATAGAAACTTTATCTATTTAAAAGAACACTCTTCTCCCACATGTCCAAAAATCAATGAAATGAGAAATTTGGGGATTTCTAAGTTCACAATACATGTTTTCCAATGTGTGACAATCTAGTTCTTCTGTGTCTAACCTGAACAATGTGTCCAAACTCTGTTTGATGTCTGAATATAGAGCCGTCAGCCTATAGTCTCCTCTACTCTGCTGAAGTGGTAACATGTTTAGCTGACCCTCATTCAGCTGTATCTTGATGTCTCACTCTGTTACGCCCACTACAGTAACTAAACATTGAGTAATTGATTTGAGTAGCCAGGCTCCTCTCCAGTGGAACCAGCTCCCTCTCTGGGTTCAGGAGGCAGACACCATCTCTAAAATCAAGGTTTTACTTGAATATGAGTTACAACTGTTCCCTGTCCCCCTCCTCTCTCTTCTCTCGTCTCACCAACCTCACCACTCGTCCATTTTTCTCTGCTCGACTGCTCAAGTTGGGGTGAGCGGTTCTGCCACAGTCTGGTTCTGCTAGAGGGTTCTCTAGGGGGGATATTTTCGGTCCATACTCGTGTTAGCTCATTGTGGGAGCTGTATGAGTTCTTTTATTATTCTGTAAGGTCTCGACGTGTGATGTCCTGTGCTCCATTCAGAGAAACTGTCTGAGATTATGATACACACTCATACAATACACTTTCCTAAACTCCCCATGAATATGACATCTTCACTTTTAATAGCAGTCAGAAATCCTCAAAGACAAAATAGTGCCACTTTACCACTGACATCAGGTTAGAAAAACACTGAAATACACCAGTCACAGCAGACGAGTCCAAGGACGTGTTTCAGCTGCAGCCTGTGTTTCCAAGGATGCAAGTTGTTAACAATGAGAAATGTTTGACTAAAGTGAAAACAGAATGTTTAGATGTCCAAAATGGTGAAGGTGCAGTTCAACATTTGAAAGCCTCTTTCTTTGCCTTATATCCAAAGGTTATATTAAATGGGTTCTCCTACAGTGACTGATTCACACTCACTTTTTGCTTCACAGAGAAAACAATTTTTTCCTTCAGTAAAAGGGGGTCGCAAAAAAGCAGTGAAGTGAAAAGTAAAATGTTCCTTGAGTGAGGAAAAAACCAGGAACTCCAACCATGTGCTTGAGCAATTTGATATATATAATACATATCTATATAGCACACATACTGTATATATGTCACCTACCTTCATCCCCATCATTGGCACTGACAGTGAGGATGGCAAAGCCAATGTCAGCATCCTCATCCACATCAACTTTATAGGATGTCTGCGCAAACGCTGGTTTGTTGTCGTTCACGTCACTGATAAAAACACGAACGTACGCCGTGTCTGAAAGAGAGAGAAAAGAGAGACAATCATAAACAGGAGGTTGTTCTTATTCTGTCAATGTGAACATGAGCATCTGTCTCTCTCTCTTTGGATAGCAACACACACACACACACACACACACACACACACACACACAAGTTTCTTCATGCATACAGAGAACAACAAACAAAATAACACTTTTTTCCACTATCTTCCACTTTTCAATTACATCCATCATCAGGCTTCTGTCTATTTTAGCATTAAATCCAGCTGTTTCTTCTTTTCTTCAACATCCAACTGCTGGCTGAAGCGGGGGAGCAAAGCACCCTGAGGGCATCAGTGTGAAGCTCTGTAGTTGAGCAACCAAACACACTACGCTTCCTTTGATATTGCTATCAAAACGAGCATAATTTGCAATACACGCTTTAGATGAGATAAATAATTTAAGCCAGGGTGGAGGAGATTGTTTACAGTTCATAGCACAGATAGAAAACTAATGCAGGCTCAAAATAAAAGCTGCAGATGCTAGGGCCAGAGCTTTGCCTGTGTTCACTTGGTGTCAGAGGGGGAGAGGAAAGTAGGGAGTGATGGAGGAAGCACACAGAAAGTGGATGAGCAGATGTACCAGCAGCCATCTCTGCATCCTCCCACTCATCTGCTAATGCTGTCTGTTCACTAATGGTTTAACACTTCTGCTTACATTAGTAAACATTTATTAGCCATACATTAGCCTCCTCTGAGAACAGTGTTTATCAAGGTTATACTGTGGCCGCAACATTATGCTGCAATATTGATCAGTGTGTGGTTAAATGGTTAAATGGAATTAACCTAATGTTAGCCAGTTATTAGTTCTGTATCATCAGAGTGACATGTATATGAAAAAGATTCTTCAGAGGGTATTTTACCTAAATCAGAGGCTTCAGTGTTTTCACATAACCAATATGAAATGACTTTCCTTTCTATGGTAAGAGAAGTGGTGAGAGCTGGGAGCACTGCTGTACAAATATATTTCCATACATCATTTTCAACAAAGTCAAATTCAACATGGTCAAATGCTTTTTCCTAATTCACAAAAACCTAGTCCCCCATGCTATAGTGTCATAAAAGTCTGAATTGTGAGGACATGAACTCCTAAACCAATGAAGCTAACAGTCCATTAAACTCACTAGAAGTCTTTGAATTTTTTTTAAAAGGGAACAGTATACTGAATAACATTGGGGCTTTTATCCTTAACATTCTGAAGCTTTGCCAGTGAAGTCTTTCTATGGATAAAAACACACGTTAAATAAATAAATTCAAGTGGCAATAGATAACTACCACTATTTCAACGTGGTATTCCTGATGACACTAATGATGGATAGGATCAAATTCCATTCTTATCAACTCCGTAATCATAATATAATATGGTAAGTTTACTTGTTTTAAAAAGACCACCACATGTAAACATGAACTTTTTTATACTAATAATTAGCAGTGTTAGCAACAGGCTACCAGCCTGGCTACTTTCCAAAGCAAGACAAAAAATGTATATAACACCCAACTGTAAGAAGGGTTGTTCTCTGTCACTGTATTTACCAGCCCTCTCTGTGTGCCCATTATTCAGGGGGTTCATGAGAGCCGGCTGTATGCTCTGTCTTTACATCCACCAACCTGAGTATCCACTTCCTCCGGGTCGGCCTCTATCCGAGGTTCAACCTTGTTTTACTTTGTTTTCTATCACCCTCATCATAACCTATTTCCCTTACCTGAGAAATGTTTACACAAAAATGAGTCTGCGTTGGCAGAGAGAAAATGATGAATATGGTGAAAGCAAGTAAAGTAAAATAAAAAAATACAAACCACCAATGAAGTAATTATTGTTTTATAATTATAATTAATAATTCTAATTTATAATTAAGTTCCCCCTAAGTTGAACTTGATGGTACAGCTGAAGGACACAAGCTTGTTATGCGAAGGCAGATAAATCAGTGTCTATATTTTTTGGCTAAGTGAAGTACCAGTGTCACTCTCATTTATTGGCATGCTGTTACAAATCAGTTTGTTGGTTGTTGTTTTTTTTGGTTTGTTTAAAAGATTTAAGATTGACTTTTAAGGTGATCAGTCATTCAAGGGGTATAATTCACTGCAGGTTCAAGAGATTAATGAGTAAAATTTGCTCATGACACCCTGAAATGATCTTGACTTTGACAACTGCAATTACATGCAGATGTATGTGTGTGTTTTCATGTGTGCATCTGTATTTAATATAATTTACCACCAGTCATTGACCCTTTTTCATTCTTCCCAGTTAAATAAATGAATATATGCCTTGAGAGAGGGTCTGTTAATAATCTATGATCATATTTATTAAAAAATATTTCCTCATCTGTCTTGCTGCTTCATCAACACCTCTCCATCCACCCATCTGCCTAAACAGCTGTTCGTTCTTCATGTCTCTATTCTACCGTTGGAGCATGCACGCATTTCATCTGGCAGCAAATGAGAGAGAAATCGAAAGATGCAGGAAGAGAGGGAGCAGACTGAGAGAAGAAGATGGCTGATGGTCCTCGAGTAAGAGATGAACAGATGTGGGACAGAGACAGAAAGAGGAAAACTGCCTTCACTAAACATTTGGAGTCTTAAATCAAGACTACAGAGCAGCTGTGTACAGCTCTCCTCTTGTGTTCATCCTCTTTTTTGCTCACATAACAGCAAACACATTAAACACATAAACTGTTACAACCTCAATAACAACTGAATTGTACTCATTTCTGCAATCACATGAAACTGTTATTTACATGGAAGCTGATGATTCTGTAAATCGTTCAATGAAATGAATGTAAAGAGGAAAAACACTTTGCTTAACGTACAGCTTTTTAATTTTAAAAAGGAGTAAATGTAATGATTCTGCCCTTTCGAGGGACTTTTGATTTGTCTTGATTTGCTTTGGAATTTTTGTTTTGAATCGATTTACCTTTTTGAAGTTGGTAATGTTTGAACGATTTTTGATCTGTTTGCAGTTTGAATTTCCCAGTCCCTGTTTTACTTGACAATTATTTATCTGTGCAGACTTATTTAATTTAGAATGTATTGGTTCCTGGAAAATCCTTGATTTTCTATCCTTCAGTGCTGCAAAGCAGCTAAATTATATTCATCGAAATTGCTTTGAATGCTGAATATAAAATTTGGAACTTCCGTGATCTGCAGTGTCAATACTAAGGAGTGGAAAAAAATAAAAAACACACACTCCAATAAGTCAAAATTTACTACAATTTTCAGCAGAGCCAGCTCACTGACTTTAAATGTGTTACTGTCAAAGGATATCAAGTTTGCAATAAATCTATTCCTCAAATTCAGTGACCCAAGCTCGCAGAGCAGGACTAACTCACTAGAGTCTCAAACTGCCTGCAGATGAAACATTTGCATGAGAACGTTTTGTGTGGAGCTTGAAGTCATAGTTTTCAGTGGCTGAGCAGAGGCCACAGAGCTATGATCACCACATTTGGTACCAGGGGTAAAGCACACTTTGATTGGACTCAAGAGCACTGACATGTCTAGTCTGGACTGATGAATAATGCTTTACTAACTGGAAGTGAAATGGGTACATTGAGTTTGTTATTACTAAATAACAAACACTGCCATCGTGGCTGGGAGGACCTGAATCAGAGGCTAAACCAGTACCAAGAATGACACAGGAAACTGTTGCATCTTTCTGATGCCTCTACTTCCAGATTGTTGACAGTCGGCTATAGCATGACCCAAAACTTTGCCTGAGCTTTTTTCTAGGGCTGTATCATACATTATTTGTTCCTTTCTTCAACCCCACTGCAATTCCCAGCAGTGAGTTAACTCAGCAGATTCTTCATTCTTTGATAGACATCACTTGGGGAATGAGTTGCACATGCTGTCCAACATGATGTTTCACAATCCACACTGTCTACCCTCTCACATTACCACCAGCACATCAGCAGAGCGCTCTTCTCCCTGTCTGAAAAGGATTGAAAAAAGCTCATCTGAGGGACTTGAGTGGATGGGTTGAACTTGTCAACATTGATAAAATATCCACTGTTGTGGGGGACCTAAAGGCCAGGCGGAGCCACAATGAAAGACAGGAGAACGGCCTAGTCTCTCTCTCTCTCTCTCTCTCTCTACTATTGACTGAACTTTCCATGTATCTTTGCGATTTTGTGTGTGAATATAAACATATATTTTCCTTTTCCTACCTTGCTTGTATGGGTTTAGCTGCATGCGTGTTATTTCTCGTCAATTATGTTAGGTTTATTCATGTTCATGTTTAGAGTTTTGCCATGCCTGAGTTTAGTTCATGTTTAGTCTTGTTTGTTTTGAGCACTTTGTGTCAAGTTAAACTTCACTCACGTCAAGTCTCGTCGTGCACTTCCTGTTTTAGTTTGCACTCACCTTCTCCCTCTCGTTTCAGACCCTGACTTCCTCCCTTTGTGTAATTTTCCCGCCTTGCTGATCATCTTCACCTGTTTTCCCCTTCCTCATGTATAAATAGTCCTGGTCTCCCTTTGTCCTGTGCCAGTTCGTCTTGTTCTGTCCATGAGTGTTCATTGGAGTATCACCGTCAGCTCTAGTCAAGTTTATGGTCTTTTTTGATTCGCACTTTTGTAAGTGTTTATTTTCTTCCTTTTCATATCCTCTTAGAGAGTGCCTTTTGTCTGTGCACCTTTTTGTCAAGAAATAAGCCTTTGTTATATTCACTACTATAACCGAGTCGTGCATTTGAGTCCACCAGCATTCTTGTCTGAGGGCGTTACAATGTGTTATTCAGTGAAGTAGACATTTCATTCTGGTTGTTCAGACAGAAAATAAGCACTGTGGCCATCACAAGGTGAACATTACCTGTTCTCTGCTCAGGTTAAGTTACGGGAACAAATTATATTGTGATTTAGTAGCCTGTGGGTTGAGGTCATGATGTATAATGAAGACTTGGCCTGGTTTGAAATGATAAGGAAGTATAGAAAACAGAGTCTGTAAGTCATGTATTTGATCAATGTAGCCTCCTGATCCTGCATTTGGGTTGGGGGGTGCAAAAAGTGTGTGTGTGTGTGTGTGTGTGTGTGTGTGTGTGTTTTCAGCTGGAGTGTGTACAAGTGTGCGTGTTGCTGTGCACACCTTGTTAGATTGGTTAATGTGAGTCCTGTATTATGTAATTCGGAATGATAAAGGACGCTGTAATAGCTCATCTGGTCATATTAAATTGGTCGTTAGTGTAATATCATATTCTTTCCTAGGGTAATTGGAATATTAAATGTACCCCATGTAAAAGCAATATTTCCTAGTTTCACCTTGTAAGTCTCAAGATGCTAGTGTCAACATGTCAGTTGTACTTACCAGAGTTGGGCTGTCCATGTTTGCCGGGCCGCGCTGACTCCCAGCCGTCCACAGACTGAACCTCCAGCAGATAGGAGCTTTTGGTCTCACGGTCAAACACAGTCTGAGTGTAGATGAATCCCAGTTCCGGGTCAATACGGAAATACTGGTGGTCCCCACTGCGGTCCACCAGTAGGGAGTAGGAGATCTGCACAGTGGGAAGGTTATAACACACAGGTCATTATTGCTAATTATGTCCTGTGTAATAATACTGTCTCTCTGCCCCCACATGTATTCATTTATTTTACTACATTTCACTTACTTTGTGTTTTTTCCCTCCCATAGTCTCCACAGTCATCTAAGTGCTGCTCATTGTGGAAACCTTTGGGTTTCTCTATAATTTTTAAGGTCTTATATTATGATTTGGTGCTATACAATAAAATGTAATTTAACTGAATTAATTACTGTAACACAGCAGACAACAGTGTGAACATTCACAAGAAACCCAGTTCAACCAAGGCGATGCTGAAAGACCAATTGTTTGTGTGTGTGTGTGTGTGTGTGTGTGTGTGTGTGTGTGTAGATGCACGTCTGTCGTCACCTTGCCATTGAGACCTAAGTCAAGGTCAGTGGCTGACACCTGGAAAACCAAAGTTCCTGTTTCTGCCCCTTCAGTGACTGAGGCCTCATAGATGGAGGAGGTGAAGAACGGGACGTTGTCGTTTACATCTGGAGAAGGAAGAGAAGGGAAAGAGAGCGTGTGCTTAGGCTATAAAATAATTTCAACATAGTATGTTTGGTGAATTTGATAAGAAACACCACTGACAATTAATGGGCTCTTTGCGAGGCCTGAAGGGCCTGAAGGTAAAATTTGTTTTCAAACAGTTGTTGGTGGCACAGTTATCAATTGAAAAGATAAGTTATGACAAACAATATGCAATGTAGTGACATTTATTTTAAAGATGTATTGTTTCTTTGGATTAAGAGATGATATACAGCCACAAACAAGGAAAGAAGGAAACACTCAGCTTCAGATCCAAAGGCAGACAAGTAAACTTTTGTATTAGTTGATTGTCAGATGATCGTAAAATCACGTTGAAAGGAAAACACACCATCATCCTTCATTCAGCCTGCTAATTCTTGTTTGCCTGTTGCTGGCTCCACACTGATTCTCTTAAATTAGTTAACCACCATCTCTTTAAATTACTTCACAATGTGCCTCCACATCCACCACACTCAAATGTTCTGCTGCCAAAAATACTTTCTTCTGATCACTGTTAATGACTCTGTTCTGGTCCCTGTCTATTTCCTGCTTTCATCTACAAGTAATTGCTACATGAGCACTGCCAGGAAATAAAATGACCAAATCCAAAGATTATTTCATATTTTGGTTCATATGTCAAAAATGAGTGTCCAAAACACCCCAATATGGACCAGAATGTACCATGGATTCTGTATTTTGTCAGTATTGGGTCAGTTATTTCGATTGAAATTTAGGAAACAATTTATATTTTCTATTGAATCTGTATTTTTTATACTCACGTGTTATTGCTATTTTTATGTGTGACAGCAAACAACTGTTGCTATATACAGTATAAAGCTAGAATTCATGCCTCAGCCAAGGTCCAACAGTCTCTGTATTAAACCATAATTTAAATTCACTAAATCAAATTTCTTTTTCAAAATTCTCACAAATAGCAGTCCTCTTAACTTGCCAGATTTTTTTCATCAAGATCCATGAAATATTCTCTACACATTTTTGAAAACCTCCTTGGCGGAGGTATAATGGTTACTTAAAACTAACTACCTCGATTGTGTGCCCGCTCAAACTCCTGTGAAGATAAATAAAGCACCTCAACTAAACTTAATAAAATCTAAACTAAAACAACAATCAGAAAACATTTTTTCAAAACACAATGTTTTGTCATCTGAAAAAAATTCTGATTCTGAGTATCAAAAATCCCTGTGCAGTGTTCTGGTGTCTGGATGTCCCCTACATTGAACTACGTCTATATACTATATACTGCATTTCTTTTTATTATGAATACTTCTTAAAGGTCATTTTGTAGGTTGTGGACAAATAAAGAAAACACCAGGCAATGAATATCAATGCTCTTTGTTGTTGGCGCACCACTGGGCTTCAAAGTGGCTCTGGTCCTCCTAGCATCCTGGAGAGTGGTTGATTTTGGGCTTTCATCAGCCTGCAGCTATAAAAATAAAGTTTGGAGTCTATATGGCATATCATTTTAAGATCCGGCTGATGGTAAGGACACAAGAGTCCATCCTAGTTTGCATGAATAATTCATTTGTTTCACAGAATATTTGTGGGGAATAATTGTCTGGGAACTGAGAACATCGGTATCAACACCATGGGATGTAACTCCAGCTCAATGCCATCCTATTGATTTATGTTAGACCATGCATTCATTATAGCTTTGACAACTGATGCATCAATGTCATTTTTGCTGTTGTGGTTTTATCTTTCAAACCATGAACTAAGTTTGCATGAATAGCAGAGGACAAATTCTAAATATAGTTCATTTAAGGCCAAAATTATTACAGAAATGACTTGAATAGAGCAACAGATTAAATACAGTATAATGCTGCTCCATTGTCATTTTTTCCCCCTCGCCTTTCTTTGAGCAAATGTCTTAATCTATAAATTAAAAATGAGGCCTTAACTCCATTACAGAGCTCCCTCCCTCCCCCAGCAGGATCGCCTCTGAGGAGTCAAAGAGCTTTGGAGGGGTGAGTAAAAAGAGAAGGGAGTCAGGAGTAGGACAGAAAGACAGAGAAGGGAGAGTGGGTCTGTGTGAATTAATTATTTCTCACTGGATTAGGACCAATGTGATGTGAGTGTGTGTGTGTGGGGGTATGCCTGCATGTTGCCAGGGGATTGAATGCAGGGAGAGTGGGGCATGTAGGGTAGGCAGAGTTATTTTGAGGAGCAAGGTCAGGAGCTTGCAAACCCTATCATATTAAGCAGAGATGATCACAACCTAAATCAGGTGCTGAACATTGTCAGGGACACAATAGAGAAGGGCAGAGAGGTGAAAACTGCTGAAGATGGAAGATAATATATATTTTAGGAGAGTGAGACTTTGACTAAACCTAGAGGTCTGTGTTGAAATTTCTTGGAGCAGTGGGTTTGAGCGTATTTTACTCTAAGCTCATCATACTCACAACAGCTGGCGAGCACTGCAAATAATTTGGATTTACACAGCTTTGGAATCCAAGATTTAAACGGGTCAGATGGAAAATTAGAACACAACCCGTCTTAGAAAGCGCAGTGATACAACTGACCCATCTGTTCCTACCAAATGCTCTTTATTCTGTCTCCTGCCGTGGCCTCACATGGGGAGCAACTGTTGTAACAGTGCCACTGTCCATGTTGAATACAGAGGGTGAGAATTTAAAAAAAAGCATATACACAGCAGTAGTTTTAAGTTGGCACTATATGAGTTGAGACCATAGCTGGGTCCTGAGGCTGGTTCAAGTTCAGTATTGGAAAAGGAAAGTGTTTAATGCTGCTCTTGACTGAGAACAGCTTTGTCCATTTATTGTTATAAAAAGTCCATTAAGCCTGTCCTGCAAACTCACCATGTAAAATCCATCCTGCTCCTCCATTAGCGTATACCTTAGCCATCAAAAATGTGCAATCAAATACCCACTTTGTCCTCTCTTCCTGTAACCTTACACAGTCATACCGTATTTTATTACACAATTTCAATTAACCAGTTGCAACAATGCTTTTAGATGAATGCAGGAAAACAATGGTGTTCGGAGACAATGTGAAACATAGTGAAGGAATGAAAATCCACTAAAGCAAGTTAAAATAAAAATGGCCTACCTGTGACATTGACATAGACTGTGGTGAAGGCTGCCAATGGCACGGCAGCGACATTCTGAGCTCGAACCCGCAGCATGAAGTTTCTGGTGGTCTCATAGTCAAGGGGCTCAGCCACCAGGATGGAGGCCGAGCCGTCCTCTCTGTTGGGGGTCAAGTAGAAGCGAACAGGCATGTTGGTCTCTGGGACCATTCCGTCCTCCAGATTGTAAGTCACCCTGGGATCCCCAAGAGGGGAGGTGGCCTTGATGGTCTGTGTGAAACAGAGACAAGGATAGAAGGTAGTGAGATTTCTCTATTACAGGACATGTCACTCATTTTAGTCTGCATACCACTGAGGGGCTTTATGTTGTCAGTGAAACCCCAGGGTCACCATCACTCACATAGTTGTCAGATGTTACACAAGCTACACAATGTAAGATAACACTACAAAACACTACTCTGACATCGTGGAAGGTGTTCTATTTGTCATCTTACCTGATAGCTGAAAAAGGATTTTGACCAATGACTCAATATGTATAATTGTTATTTTCTCAAATTTTGGAATAAATGTACTGACCCGTGATCTGAAAACCTGACAGAAATTTTGCATGTTTCCAATTACGAGTTTTGAAAGCTGGAAAAAAAACGCTGAATGCCAGCAGAGATCCTCTGGACAGGAACTGAGATGGGGGACAACCGCTGCTGGACCTCAGTGGAAGTGTGCATTCTAAATAGTGCTAAATGATCTGCCCAAATGGATAAAAGTGTTTTATGCACATAATAATGAATATTAAAATGTCCAGGCAATAAGTCTCAAACTGTTAGAATAAAAAACAACCTGCTGAAATCCTGCAGGATCAAAGACTCATCATGCATTCTCCCAAACTAATTAAGGAGAGGCTACTCAAAGCTGAGGCCACATACACACATCCCAATTAAAATCAAAAATGCCATCTCGGACGTGATGCGGCTTTCCTATGGGTGACCTAGCTGTATCCATTCAACCTGTGGAGCACAGCACTACAATAATGAGACACCCTATTAGGCATGTAGAACTGGCCAACATGCCTGGCTATTGTATGAGCTGATTTAGGCCATAAACACCTCAATCTTCCACAGCAGAGCTATTACAACCCGCTGAGAGTTATTGTATCTTTGCATAACAGTCAAATCAACGCTGAACTGCCATCGCGATTAATACATTGTACTGTAGGGACCGCACTCCCTCTCTTTCATTCTCCCTCCATTTATCAGCATCTCTCGCGAACACAATCAAAACACACACACACTCACAGCCTCATAAAGTACTCTCCTCTGTCTTTTCATTTTCAATAGTATTCATCAGCAACTTTAATGGATTTAATTGCTTTCAAGAGATCCTCCAAAAAAATACAATCGATAAAATGTTAATGGAGTAAGAAGTTGATGCCTGTGAATAATCTAATTCAGTTTTGAGGAAACATTTGAGCTGCCAAATACTGGAGTAATAACCACACAGGTTGTTTTTTAATGTTGCACAAAGCTGATTGTTGCTGGTGTCTTATTCTTTTCGACCACAGAAGAGAAACTGAAAAAGGCAGTAAACAGAGAGTGGAATAAAAATCTATTTTTGAAACACCACAGTGTGTTTTAGCTGCACTACAGGATATTAAACATTGTGATTCTTACGTGGAATTAGAATAGATATTAACATTTTGCTCAGTTTGCAGACAAATAATTTTCTGTGTCGGCATCTATTACCACCTACTCCTATTGGTAATAAAGTTACTGCAAAAAAATAGCACATGCCTTCTCCGCATTTAGCAATGATCCAGAGACAGATAAAGTCAGATTTGCTGTACTTTCACCGGAGCTGCACTGACCTTTCTGGATGCTGAAGGCTACTGCTTCTGCTTTAATTCAAGGAAGAGGACAAGCACTTCAAATTGCCTCTTGTTTTTTCGAACTTTTATTCATTCAAGTTTCAAAGAGGGCAAAGCTCTCTTTTGCAGTTGCGATTAAGCGCCTTGCTCAAGGGCACCTCTGTGATGGTGATCGGGGGTGCTGCAGTGTGTCCCTGTCCCTGCTGAGATGTTTCCTTCCAGTATGGGGAACGAACTCTCAACCCTTTTCTGTCAAAAGCCTGTTTCTCTGCCCTTTAGGCCACCACCCTCTTGTGTATAAAGTGCCACAGATATATAAATAAACATGCCTTGCTTTTTTTATATTTTAAAAAAGAACAAAAACTCTTCTCATGTACTAGACTTGGGCGATGTCTGCTGAACTAGCATATGACAATGTACAGTGAAACATTGAGATGGAAGACAGCAACAGACTTATTAAGCTCTGATGCTTATAATAATTAGCTGCTTTCTATTTTTAAACTGTGCTGAGTGTCGCTGTTGCTGGTTACAATAACACAAATGCTGCTGCTTTGTCATATTGGCTGTGACTAATTAACTTGATGACAGGCCTTAAATAAACTAGCCTGAGATCAGTTTGCATGTCACTGTACAACCAAGTCTGAACCATAGACTGTATATGAAGAAGCACGATATATTTCCACTTCCTCCCACCATCCATTGATCACGGGATGGAGCTGCGGTATCCACATCCAGCCGATACACACGTTGACTAAATGTACAAAACATGGTGGCCTCCGAGAGGGTCCCCTCGATATAAATATAAAGTATTTAAATATAAAGGGCCTTTTCTGGGGTAAAGAAAACTACAATCTTACACACTGGACCTTTAACACCTATATTTAACATTTATTTTGGTCAGTGTTCCATCCACTAACATGGAGGAGACATGGTTTATGGTCTATTCTGCAGCCAGCCAGCAGGTGGCAATCAAGACGTTTTCTCTTCACATTTGGGGAACCGTCATGTCGTTCTTCTTTATATAGTCTATGGTCTCAACTGAGTTGTTCTTTACTTCCAGCAAATGCATTAGAGTGAGACATCTTAGCAGTTTGCATCAAATCTCCAGCATTCTCCAAAGTCAACATTGATTTATATCAAATCATAAAACGAAGCTTCAAAACGTTATATTTTAGAACCATAACCTTCAGTATTTTGAAGAAGACGCTCGTATAATTAAGGTGAGTGAGATTAACTAGTGTAAAGCTATGTTATCAATGTGTCAGATACGCCAGCTATTTAATCAACATGTAAGAAACGTGAATTAAATATGGGATCTGCCTCATTATTGGGAGATGCCTGATATTAAATCACTCTGATGGGGGCCAAAAAATGTGATTAAGACATGACTCCTAATAAACTATAGGTGATAAATAATTTTCTCTATGTTATAGCACAGACACTATAGCGTGCATGCTTGTGTGTGAGTGCGGCAGTGTACGCTCTGCTGCCCAGGGAATGGTGGCTCATGATGCCACTATCAGTCACTAGTCACGTCAGCCATTAGTCCAACCCCGATGTATTTGCCAGCAATTCCTCCCTAAGTGTCTGTGCTTCTGCTGCCTGTTTGTCAACTACCACATCCCCCACCCAACGTACCACGATGGGCGTGTCTCTGACAGTGTTTTCTGGGATGACCACGCTGTAGCTGTCCTTCTCCCAGTGCGGAGGCTGATTCTTCACGTTGGTGATGGTGACGGCCAGCTCCACTGAACTGCTCCTGTTCCCTCCGTCCGTAGCCATGATTTCCCTGGTGATGTAGGTCCTCTGCAGCAGGAGGTCCCCACCGATGAAGAGCAGAGTAACGGAGAGGTGATGAGTTCACATAATGGAGTGTTGTCATGTTGTCAATGAGTGTGACAGTGATAATCACAGCTTCCGTAGAGGCTGCTGAACGTGTCACAGGTCACACAGATTTTAGAAAGCAATCCATTTTCCACACTTCTGTGCAGACGAAAATGACTGTTGGCTGCATTTGTGTAAAAACAAGCATACTGAGGGATAATTGTGCTGATTGAAGGTCATAGCCAACAGTTTAATAAACCTTACAAAAGCAATTACCTGTAGCCACTGTAATCAGAGGGAATGGTTTAATTTAGTAAATAAAGGAGAATAAGTTAGTATCCCCAGTGCGAGTTAATTGGTGTCATTTGCACAACAGAAACAAAATATGATGACACAAGTTCACTTTTTTTCAATTTACTTCAGGTCTTCCACTTTAGGCAACATGCAATGTTGATTATTTACACATTCTAAAAAGGTTTGTTTGTTTGAATGGAAAACTGCTTTTCACTGAGCCGTTTTTTCACATGACCCAGGATTCATTCTTAAGATTTGCTGCAGTCTTGTAGTTTTAAAATGCAATGTTTGCTCTTGGCAATTAAGACAACTGAGATCATCACATTTGCAAAGGCGAAGGTGAAATAAACATGTAGGCAGTGGCTGCATGTGTTTCACGCTTTATGCAGTTGTCCTCATTAGTGGAAAAGTTGAGTCTCTTCAAACACGGATATGTTCTAGTGAACCCTTCACTCAGGCAAGGTGCTGAGGAAACTCAGTCCTCTTGGCACCAGTAGATGGTGAATTGTTGTTCTTTCAGCTTTTATCACTGTGGCACTCATCTAAGGCACAGTGCACACTACGTTGGCAATTTCCTCGACTGCTTGTTCGTGTTGTCACCAAGATTGTTTTTCTGCTGGTGAAACGAAGTCTTAGAGGCAGCAAAGTGAGGGAACATATCAGCATTGATACTTATCCCGATGCCAAAGACTCTGGTGAAAACATTATCACATATTCAGAATGACTGTGCTACTGACCTCTGCCCTCTAACTGTCAACAATCAAAGGCTTGATTACAAATATGCTTAGAATCGGTATGTTGATATGTTGATTTGGTTCATTGCCAGTCTCACACGACTTCTTGGTTGTAAATATAAAAATCACATCATTTCTATGAAGTATTTACGTGCTACTTGATGTGGTTCCATTAGCATGATTAGCTCCAAGGACAACCCATAGGTTATTTATACCACTGCTACACATATCAGCAGTTATATAAGCAGAAAGCTCCTACATACACCCAACATTTACACTTACATACACTTTTTAAATAGCAAGCAGGAACTGCCTTCAATGCAGCTTCCACCAGTGTGTTCATACCTGAGAGATGGGCTGGTTGACATAAACCCATCCCGTCAGGGGGTTGACCCTGAGGTACTCCGGCTGTTCACTGGACATAGAGTACATGATGGCTGCATTTGTGCCAAAGTCATCGTCATGAGCCGCCACTCGCAAGAAACTCGTCCCGATCATGGTATCCTCACGAAGGAAGTCTGTGGGAGAGGAAGCATAAGGAGTGTGGTTGGTGCTCCAGTCGTTATGTAAAGCCTTCGTTTTCTTGACTTTGTCAGTACAGTGGTCCAGTGTTTGCAGCGCGCTGCAATTTAAGAAAACAAAAAAACACCTTCACCACTCTAACAACCGACACATTTGGAAAACAAATAAATGAAAAAAAAACACCTTCACCACTCTGACAACCTGTGACACATTCAGAAAAAGTGCTGCAAACAATTAAAACGCAAGTTAATTAACACTTTGCAGCATAATTGTTGATTTCATAACACATTTTATGCATAAAGAAGCACACTGCGAATATAATTAACACCAAAACAAGGGAATCATCATTTGTTCCAGTAATATTAGAGTCAGACGTGTTTGTTATAAATTACAACAAGACATCAAGTTCAGTTTGAAAATAAATATAATTGTAACATGACAATGTTTTGTATTGATGTGATGTGTAAATGTAAATTTAGAATGTTGACATCTTGTAAATACAGTCATACTGAAATCATCAGTAAAATCTGGACAACGTTGACGTGTTTGTTTTCCACGGAGCAACCCTGCTTATATGTGGGGAATGTTATATATGAAGTGAATAAGTCATGGGAACAAGTTTTTTTTTTCCCTCTCACATGTCACCAGGGTGTGACTCTGTAGTTTTCTACCTATCAATACCCAATCTTGTATCATAAGATCCACTCAGGGTGAGCACAGCATTCTTTAACTTCTGTATGGATGTGTTAAGGAACTTGCAGCACTGAGTTAAAGTTTGGAGGAAAACATTTTTATTTGGTTTGTTAGCACTTCATTAAAACTCTGATCTTTCTCTAACCTACGTGCTTTTGTTGTCTTAATCACAGATGGGACTGTGGATGCAAACCTCCACAGTTGTGAGATCTGTACACCTACCATCCACACTAACACCTCCTGGGGACTCTGCTGCTGCTTATACAATTAAAACTTGATTCATTGAAAACAATATTTCACTTTCAACTATATTCCAACCAGGGATTGTGTTTCCTTCACAACATATCTGTTTTCGATAGTTCAGCTGTATAATAACAGAATAAAAAACATTGGTCCATTTGCATGTGTCTGTCATTCATTCTAATATCCACTTACACTCATATCGGATGTTTTCGAACTTGGGACTGTTGTCGTTCTGGTCCAGGATGAGGATGTTGAGCTGACAAATGCCAATCAGCGGGTCGGCTGCCTGGTCAGTGGCGGTCACCGTCACCGCATACTCCCGTTGGCGTTCACGGTCAAATTTCCTCGCAGTCACAATTACCCCTAGAGACAGACACATCAAGGTTGATACAACAGGTAAACCCTACCAGACACCACTCGGTCTCATGTCTCCAGAGCATCTGCAATTTAACACAAAAATGAGTTTCCTTTGTTTGCCTCCGAGCCAGACTTTAAAGACTACACTTAGTAGAAAAGGATATGAGAGTATTTCAAAAGTAGTTATCATCAAAAACAAAGAGAATTATCTTCATTATTAATCTCAGAGAAGATTTTAGCGATGACAGTTAAAGCATTTCCTGCTCCATTAAAAACACTGTTGCAAGTCAAGTGAAATGTTATGTTATTTGATTTGTATTGATGTTCAATTTTTTTTACACATAAGCCTTTGACACTTTTTCCCCAAGTTGAAAAGTAATTTTGTATTTTACTCTTGTTGAGGGGTAAGTGCAGAGGATGCTGTGAAGCCCTGTGAGGGAAATTGATGTTTGTTAGCTGCACAAATCAAATTTGATGATTGAGTAAGTACCTATGTCAAATGTAAACTTATGAGCTTAGCTGAAAGATAGCTGCCTCATGCACAGGGTCAATGCTGTAGATGTTTATTTTTGTGAGATGGTTGAAATATGCTTCAAAAATATTTGATGGGGAAAAGTAAGTTATGATGCGTCTAACCACAAGGCTTTGAATTATGATCCTTTCTTTTGGCTGCAAATATAATACATTTAATTCTGTCTGTTAGTAAAAAGGAGTTTAGAAATAGCTTTAAACTGTAAACGTATCTGTACCCTTTACAGCACCCTGCATGCGCTTGTTGCACTTTGTCAAACCTGATGGATATGTTGAAAAGAATGATGTCTGCATGAGACTTCCCACTGGGATAAAAGTATGTGCACTCGTCTGTTTTTGTGCAAGTGGAAGTGACTGTGTGTGTTTCAGTACCAGTGTCAGGGTGTATGCTGAATGCGGGAACGGTGGAGTCTTTGTGCATGAAGCCGTATGTGACCCTGCCATTGGAGCCCTCGTCAGCATCCACAGCGCGAACCTGCAGAACAAACGTCCCCGCCGGCTGGTTCTCCAGGACTGACGTGCTCTCTCGGTACTGCTGACACTGAGGAGAATGAGGTGGCAGGCGGAGGGGATGGGTGGGAGGAGGAGAAGATCATAGCAATGTAAGTATGGAGAAACTTAGATCAATACTCCATTCTATCGAAACAGTGAGGGAGTGTGTGGGAAGCGGAATGATATTTATTTTGAAAGGACAGGGTAAAGATTATTTACTGGGACAAAAAGTGGAACATGGGCACAGAATAATGAGCAAACAGAAAGAAAGTGGGAAGCCTGGGTCTATCGTTTTTATCCATTCATCTTCTAAATTTGCCTATCCTGTTTACGGCAGGCGGTGTGGTGGATCTGTTGATCTTTTGCAACCAGTCCTGTTTTGTGCTGTGATAAAAAAAGAAATGGGAAAAACACTTCACACAGAGTTGGAAAATAAATATGTCATTATTTTATAAAAGCAAAATTTTAGTTCGATTTGGCAACATTTCTCTTTAGAACAGGTCTTATGTTTGACACTGAATATACCGTAGATATATCTTGTACATATTTTATATACAGCTAAGAAAACTGAATGCAACCCATCAATATTTGCATAATGCCTGTGTCACCATTACATTAAAATTATGTTGTATTGAAATCCTGGGATTTACCAGAAAATGTATTTCTCTGATGTGGTAAAATAGCAATGGTCATGCATGAGTGTTCTTATGAGAACTTGTGCTCACACTGATTAAATATCGTCGCCCTTACCACGCAACTGTCAGAAGACATACAGGACAGTACAACCTTTAAAACTAATGGTCCAAGAACAATGCTTCTCTGTTTAAAAAGAAACACCACTGTAAAGTGTAGTAGCCTCATGTCAGCACTGTGTGGATGGCCTCTTCCACCAGAACCACTCACGAGCTGAACGTCTGGAGATGTTCTGGAAAACACATTCTGTAAAGTATGGATTGTACTTTATCCTCTCAAGACTCAAAGGATGTGAACGCTTAAGAGGAACGTTGCTCCATGAAAAAAAGTATCACATAAGTTTATGAATATAAATGGATAACACCAAGAAGAAATAAAACCTTTCACAATTAATTATCTGCCATCTGGTGTTTCAATGGTGATAATTACTGTTTTCTGTCCTGATAAAAGTTGCTATCTTTAAATTCACAAGCTGTGTCCCAAGTTAGGTGTTCCCTCCTTCAGAAGCTGCATTTGATGGCCGATTGCATCACAGCCAAGAAATGCTTCTGTTCAGAGCAACAAAGGCTACAATGGCTGGATGCTTAAGTGACAAACCATTTGTCAAAGAGTAAATGCTGCATGCAAGTATGGTATCAGCCTTCAACCTAATCGGAACAGCTAGCAGCGCACATTTTAAAATAGCAAGGGGCATTAAAACAGCAGTAAGGGTGGTACAAACTGCTGATACAGAGCAAGGACATCTTCCATAAACCAGACCATCTCGTTTTGGTTTGACCTTCGAGATCTACATGTCCCACAAAGGCTCCGTCTTTCATGGGATGCAAAGACTGCATCTTTGAAGTAGCCCCTGGATTGGGAGACATCTACAGACTGTATCTACTGTAAAAATGGACGACCTGACAGCTCCCAAAATTGAATCCCTTAATATCTGCATTGCTGCCATTACAAAAATTTAAAAAACCCTACATACTAAAAAATGTTCCAAGAGATGGTTTCTTTAGTTGTAATTAGGTATACAACAGGGTGATTGATTGCTGAAACTGACTTACTGGCTTATTGGTCGACCTAAAACTTGTGGCTCCAATTGATGTCAGAAAGGCAAGATGGTGGCAGCTGTATGCTGAACAGTTTGGCTTTATTTTTGTACAACAGGAGGAAGCAATCTGTTTATGGCTGAACTAAAGTTTAGCAATCAACCCCAGTCTTCATTTAGCAGCTCATGACTTATCACATCACAGAGATTCATTCAGTGGTGTGATGAAATGTAGGTGCTCCTAGTTTGGTTTCTCAAAGGTTCTGTCAATCACTGAACTCATCACAGACATGCGGTTTTATTATCCTCATTTGAACCCTGTCTGTTTTACACTCACTCTCGCTATCCTCATTCTTCTCTCTTCAGTCTCTCATCGTTCTCTAACACTATCTCCATCAACTCTTTCTTTTTTTCTGTCTCACTGGAGCGGTGATGCTGATGTGCCACAGTCACAGAGAGGAAGGGATCCCTCAGTACTGCAGGTTTTTGCCTCCCTTTGACGTCTAATTAATGACAGGGGAACTTCTTTTATGCTCTTCTCTTGTTCCCTCACTTCCTGCCTCCTCTCATTCGCCCTATTTTCTCTTGGCCTACATTCTTCTATTGTGCAAGAATGCTTCACCAAGTGCTCAAATGATAGGGCCATCCACACCAACAGCAATAATAACTATAAATAACTATAAAAAACATTGTACAAAAATATTATTAAAAATATCACTCTAACTCAAGTGGATGTTGAAGTCCACACAGCAACTTTAACGGCAGCAACGATGGAAAACTCTATTGTTGAAGTCACTTTCAGAACAAGTTGATAAACTATAGAAACACCGGCAGCCCAAAAAACATCCGAATTTACAGGGTGTCACGTTCAACACGTCACATCTTACATGACAGATGGCCAAGAGACTCATCACTGAGGTTCAAAAACACCCAAACCTGTTTGATAAAACAAACAGAATCTTCTGTTTGTTTTATCAAACAGGTTTGAAGATGCAAACAAGATGAAGGACATCTGGGATGCACGGAATGACTCAGTGTGGACACTGAATTTTGAAATGACACTGATGAAAAGTCTGTAATTAATGTGGATCAGTTGCATCTAACCTGCTTAATAAGGTCTCCATTTTGAAAAGAGCCATCTGAAGTATGCAAAATGGGAAGAAACACCTGTTCACATCAAGAAAATGCTGTAGTGATATCCAATCTGGCCGAGGAGAGAGGGAGACGATGTGGAATGGTAAGGTGGGATTCTTGGCTTCCAGCCTCCTGCTACTAGGATCCTCTGATAAACAGAGTAGACAATGGTGCCTTACTGCCCTAGCTAAATGTGGTTTGAACCAGAGGCTCCACAAGATATACATTTATTTTTGTCTCGTGCCTTTTTTTTTTAGACTTTGTCTCTGCACCACCATGACCAAATTGTGGCTTGTGTATTTTGGTGCTAGCTGCTCTAAGACATGTAGTGCCTTGTGGACATGAGAAGTAATACTTGTTTTGCAAATCTGACAAACGCACATTAGAAAAACCCAGTGGGGCTTCTGTGTCAGCATGTGGGATGCATGAGGGGTGAACAGTGACACTGCATGCATATGTGGGGAGAAAGCTGTGCGTGCACATATCCACAGTTTATATTACTCTCTTTGCCTTGCCCACCTTTTCTCTCCCACACAAACACATTGACTGTCTGCTGCAGTCAGACTGACCATCAGCAACACTGGGAGAAATCCTACCCAAACTGGTGGCCAGAGGTCGGTGGCCATTCATAACGATTTTACTGCTTTCAGCAGGCAGGCAGGATTGAGCATAGACTCAGTAGATGCTGCTATCGCTTTCTGTTCAGTTGCCTCCAGCAGTGTCCACCCTACTGATGTCCCCTACAACCAACCAACAAAGTAATTCATCTCATTCATCCATAAATATGTGGGCGGGGGCTTAATGAATGGGATTGTGTGTCTATCAAGTTCTGAATTCAGTGCATTCTCCATATAGCAGGTTTATTTGGGGTTTTTTGTTCATGTTTTTCCGTACAGTTTGCTCTTGTTTTCTGATAGATCTTGGCTTTCTGTAAATCTACCTCTCTGTGTGTCTCTTGGTCCACTGATCCAGCACTGAGTTCCAGAGAGGCTGCAGTATGTTCTAAGATTCAGCATTAAAACAAGATAAAAGGTCTTTTCTGCTCCAGTGTCCCGCTGCTGGCTGCCAGCCACAGAGGAAACAGCAGCTAACCTCAGACGTCTTTATTAAGAGAGAAACCAACGCTCTGCCTCTTCTCACTTCTCTGTCCCAGGACTTATTTTGTTTCTTCCATATACTTTTTCACTCAGCTTCTTTGCCCATCTTTCACCAGAGACAGAGAAAATAAACAGTGTTTGTCCGGTGTTTACTCTTCCATCTATTGACACGTTTTTTTCTTTCTTCATACATTTGTATTTTGCTTGATTCCTTTTTCCAGCTTCAGTTGTGTTTTCTGCTCAGAGCAGGGGCATTATATTCAGCATCATCCCAGCAGAGGGAAAATAATGAATCATATAGTTGCACTATGATGCCAGCAGGAGATTCCTGAGAAAAATAATCAAGTATACAGCAGCACATGGAACACTGTGGACTAGGAATTCCTCTTTTCTCTTGGCTCTTATCTTGTGGCCCATCACTCTGTTTTTCCCTGCAAAGAGGTGAAGCTGAGAGAGAAACACTTGGCACTTACTTTCCCCCAGCAGGGAATGAGCGAGGTTTACTCAGCAAGCCGGTGCTCCTAATCTTGGCTCATGATACATTGGGGGGCTTCAAAAGTCACCTAATTTAAAATTGGGACATGATTTGAAAAAAGCAAAAGGAGACATAGCACCCCTCAAAGCTTTAATTAAAAGACCAAGATGATGTAGGATGGAGACGAGAGAGCACCAATGAGGGTCAAGGTGGCTAATGGCTCCTCCAGAGAGGGGAGACTAATAAATAGAGGAGATAGAAAGACAGAGAGAGGGAGACAGAGAAGGGGGGCAGTAGTAATGCATAGAATAGATAGAGTCAAAAAAGACAACCTGTACTAAAAATGATTTAGTGAGAAATGATTGAGCTGCAGTATAAGAAGAAAGGAAAGAAGACCAAGACAGAAGTAGATAATGGTTGAAAGGATTTAAGATGTGCATGAGATTGTCAGTCTTACCTTCTCAAAGACAGGTTTGTTGTTATTCACATCGTCCACTCCCACTATGACCTGGGCCGTGGATGACAGGGCCTGAGGTCCGCCTGAGGCATTGTCATCTGTTGCTGTAACGTTAAGGACGTATTCGACACCCTGGAGGCGAGGGGGTGGGCTGGAGCGTAAACGGATCAAACCTGGAATCCAACATAAAGGTGACAGAGGCTGATACACATGGTCTGTCTGTTGATGTAACAGTAATCGCTGTCCACATGGTCAACCTTTACTTTGGAGATGAAAAGAGTCCGTCACGTCAAAGGGTCCTTCAGCGGTGTGCTACAAGCAAAGTTGGTCTGTGTGTTTGTACACAAAAACATCTGCCAAAAGATTGAAGAGTGACGGGGATGGGTGAGAGCTATCACACTAGTGACAGTGACGACGTCTCTGTCAGACAACCATTCATGTTCAAAATGTCCAGAGCCAGCACAGTTTAGCTTTGTTACATTGCAGATCAGTCAGTCAGTGAGGTTGTTTCAGATTCAAGTGAAAGTCAAGCTTCAGTCGTTTCTCTGGGTTAACATCAGTGGCACGGCCTTTACATTTGGTTCATGCTTCACATGGGCTGGAACAGATAACTGAGTTTAAAAGCAATCAACATGAAAACAACCCGATGAAGGGCAAACAGAATTACAGGTGTTTGAGTCCCTCATTTCAAGTGGTGGAAGTCAGTTTGCTGAGGTGAAAAGTGTCCTTTGGGCAAGATACTCAACCATAAATTGCCTGTGGCAGGTATGCTTGGCAATGGGGAAACGGTGTGTGATAGAAAAAGTGCAACATATATTAGCGCAGTGGGTGAATGTGACTTGTAATGTAAAGTGCTTTAAATGGTTGATAGACTGGAAAAATGCTTTATAAATGCATTGCACTACTTTAAACGGAGGCAAAGGTTGGTAGAAGAACTAAATATAAACTGATTAGCTAATAAACCCTCGGTAAATTATTTTAGGGAAGATGATCCCAAAGTCCCTAAAGTTAATTAAATAAGAACTGCCATGAGACTTTTGAGCAACATGGCAACAAAAGTTAGCATTCAGCTAAATGCATGTATTTTCTTAATCATAAAGCTTGTTTGGCCTAGTAATGTGAGATTTCCACCAATTTACTCTGAGCATGTTAGGGTTAGATTCGTTCAGGCTAACACTAACTTCATTTCATGACACTGCATGGATAGCTCTCCAGATAATTCACCTTTAAGATGGCAAGAAATGTTAAATAATTGGATAATGCCAAATTTGAAAAGATGAATGAATTGAGTGGCTGTATCTCTAAAGACATGGCAGCACCAAGTGACAATGTAGTCAACATGACACCAAAGATGCTGGAAGTAGAGGGGCTTCTGTCGAGGGGCTATAACTGCAAGGCAAAAACTTTTACGAAGCAAATCAATTAAAGAAAATTGCTTTGGGTGTCTGTCTTGTATTGTTGCTACCCAAACAACTTGTTGTGGCTATTCAAATTGATACTCAAATCACGCAAATTGTGCTGCTGCACTGCATTTAATACGATGCCATTGTATATATGCTTTCTCTCAGCATCCACAACTGAGTCCCAGCGTCCCTGCGTGACACCAGAGTGAAGTGAGCGCCAGGATGAAAATAACCCACATAAGCCTTCACATTCTCTCGCTGTAAGGGTGCAACAGTTTTCTCTGTAAACAAGACGGAATGAGCTGAGCCGATGAAGGCAGGAGAGGTTTGAAGTGGACACTGAGTTTCTTGTTAGTTTTTTAAAGTTAAATTGATTGGTATTCCCTGTTAATTACTGCCATTCTGCCATTTCATTTCATCCTCTGTCTCTCTGCCTCTCACTGACTCCTTCAGTCTGGTGTAGGCGTCTCATCTGCATCCCACTCTGCTGTGAAAGACTCTCCTCCACTCTGTATTCATCTCACTCTATGGTGCCCTGTTTACTTTGTGTGTATGCAAGTGGTGCACGTATGTGAATAGGTGTTAGTGTGTGGACACCTCTTTATCTTCACAACCAGGAGCAGGTGCTATCAGTCATGTGTTCATTTGGTTCCTGTTTCACAAGGGAGTCTGGAATTGAATTCATATGTGCACTTCATCATAGATACTGCATGTGTGTGTGTGTGTGTGTGTGTGTGTGTGTGTGTGTGTGTGTGTGCGAGTACTATTCATCGTCTATCTCTGTGTACCAGACCAAGAGAAATTATGATTACAGCCAAGAAATGTATGCTTTTTTTTTTGTTTAATTATTTTTCAGGGTTTTTTTTAATCAGCGTGTGTTCAAAGAAACTGTCACAGCGCAACAGAAGATTTCCATCAAGTGATTTGTGCATGAGACGAAGATGAAGCAAGAGCAGAATCCCTGTCAAGCTCATGATTTCAGAAAGGCACACATATACAGTGTGTCCCTTGTGTTTGCTGTTGAGTGTGTTTGTTTGTGTGTGTGTTGTTGTTGTTGTTGTTGCACAAGAGATGGAAGATTGCCATAGAGGGGGTGTCTGGCTCGAGGTGTTTATCACAATAGCTGGTTCCCTGGCACTGCTGTCCATGGTTATGTGAATGTGTTTTTTAGTGTGTGTGCGTGTGAGTTTGATGGGGGGGGTATTTACAGCTGTACAGTTTTAAGAGTAGGAAGCTTTGCCCGACAAGAGATGTCATATACTGAGTGATACAAACATTAATGTATATATATACTCACACACTCCTACAAAGTAATTTAAGTAAATTGCACATTGGTGCACATAAACACTTCTATTCAGGAAACGCTGTGGCAGAGGTTTATACCAAGAATAATAAAGTTCAGCAATGACTTTTTCTTTTCATGCTACACTACACAACTCTGTGTGCAGAGGAAACTGAAGGGATGCTTTGCAAAAGCTTGTACGCAGATAATTAATATGCTTCAGGACCTAATTTCTTGCTGTTATTTCTAAGCGACAACATGTAGCCTTTTTGTGTTAAGGAACTCCAGACTCTGAGGATGAATGCAAATAAGCGGTTTCATACTCTTGTCAGTTTCATAAGCTGTTTGTCTTGCAAGGTTGACCCGATTTTCACAACATTCTGCACACAGCGCTATGTTGATATGCTCTGTTAGCTCAGAAATGTTATATTCCTCAACACTGTGAAATACTAATGTTTTCTTTAGTATTGAGCACACAAAGGCAAACTTCTGAATGCCTTCAGAATCAGCACACAAAGCCTTGCTCTTCGAAACCTGTGCCCTTTTTCAACCTTCAATCTCCAACAACTGTTAAGGAGAGCATCTTTTAACAAACTCCAATGTCTGAGATTTGTGATATTTTTAACCATTCAACTGTGTCACACAAAAGAAACGGATGGCAAACAAGAGAGGGATCCATCAATTACTCACAGGAAAATTTCACATTTCATGGACAACCAGTCGGTGGTATAATATAAAAGGTATCACAGCACCTTGCTTTTGTTATTCCACATCAGGCCCAAGCTAAGACATAGCCTGGCCGAACATCTGCAAATCCACATCTATTTGTTGGTCTCTGCTCTGAATCTGAACAAGCTCTTCATAAACTCAAACCGAGGGCTATGAGAATTTCCCAGAATCCCTTGCGAATGACCAGCAGAGAGGTTTCTGAACTAAACTGCTCCTCTCATAACAAAGCCTTCTGGCAGGGTTTTTTACAGAGCACTGCCAGCAGCCTGAAGCTGTGTGCTTTTGATTTATACTTGAACTAATGCCGAGCATCAACGAATGAATGGCAAGTGTCATTGATTCACCTGCATTAGCATGGATGTTATTTGGATTTTATAGGTCTGCCACTTAAGTAACTGCAAACAATAGCATTGGCTGATTAAAGATCTCAACAATGTTATTACAATGACATCACCAGCAAAACCTTTTATCTATTACTATGACTACTGATGATGTAACAGCTGCTTGAAGTTTTCAACCACTACTCCTTGTAACTACATTTCAAGGGGCAAGATAACCCTCGAAAACAAAGGGTAGGGAGAAGGAGTGAAATGGTGAATGTTTTGATATCAGCTTTTAGCCCCTAAAAGCAAACAGCTCAGACTGAGACTATTTTATAACTTAATAATTGCCTGATTATCTGTACATAGTTATATAACATAGGTTATTTCCAATTCTCCTTTATTATTTGTCACAATTAATTCTATAAACTCCATGGTTGTACAGGGCAAGCTCATTTCACACAAGTGAAGGTTAAATAAAGTTTAAGAAATATGAATGCCACGGGTTATCTGTTTCAAACAGTACTTCACTTTGAACACTGATGTAAAGCAAAAAAGAATATAATCATTGGTAACACTATTATAAAAGAGCTG